CCCCCCTGCCCTCCCTGTGGGTTACCATACTGCGGGACGGCGGGACAGAGAGACATAGTATTACAGCGCGCCACGTTTGAGGGGACCCTGTTCCTGACGGGAAGGTCGAATGCGCGGGAGTTGGGCTTAGATGAGGAGGAGGTTATTCGATCAAATGTTGTGCTGCTGTGATGGGATGGAGCTGGGATGGGATGGGATGCGGACCAGGCGGTAGGGACGCGGCAGCACAGCACGGCAGCGGCGCGCGCTCCTCTGCGTGGCGACCCGAGCCAGCCAAGCCAGGAACAGCCGAGCCGGCGGGATGACAGGCTGATTGATTGAGCGAGCGAGCGATCGAGAAGACGGTGCAGGACGCGAGTGAGAGCGCGGGAGAGGGCAAGGCGAGCAGACTCATTTGACAGAGCATGGTTACACTGGCACGACAGGAACAGCCGCCACCGCCGGCCGGCCGACCGGCGCCCCGGCTCGCTTCTCCATGTGAGCTATCTGTCTGCTTATTGTCCCTCGTAGTACCTTCTCCTCTCTGTCCTCCGCGTTAGAAGACGAGGGAAAGACAAGATCAGCCCAAGAAAAGGATCTACTCTTCGGCTAAAATCTTCAGCGTCGAGGTCCGGCTCCCGCAGCATCGAGCTCCAGTTTCTCCAGCTTTCGCCACTCAGCTGTCCAGCAGCGTCAGCGCCCAGAAGCCAGACCGCGCGCTCCCGCAGCCACCCCATCATCATTGTCGAGTACCGCCGCGACGCGCCGCCGGCGCTCCGCCCTTGGGGTAGCTGCAACTCTGCATGGGGGGCGGGGGGCCTGTGCTTTTTACTTGAGGGCGTGCGCGCGGTCTCTCTCTCCGTTTGGGGCGCAAGTGACGATGAAGAGGACAACAGCATCAAGACGGATCACGCGTCAACATCTCTCTGTTGGGGGGGGGGGAAGATCGATGGCTTTATCCTCTTCTGTTTGGGGCGCAAGTGAGTAACGAGGACAACCACTGTTGCATCGATCGCGCTCTGCTCTTCTTCTGTTTGGGGCGCAAGTGACGATGAGGGGGCAAGCCGGACGGCGGGATGCATCAGCCTCTCGTGCTCTCGTCGGCGAGGCGCCGGCCAACGGGCCGACACCGTACTTCGTACCGCCGCCGCACATATGTACTTGTACGGACGTATCAGCCCGTCAGTAAGCACCCGTCTGGGCGTGACCAGCTCGTCAGTCACTCAGAGAGTCAGTCAGCCCCATGGCCCAAGGCGGGAGGAGGCGTTACTTGGCGGGCAGGGCTGTTTATTGCTGCGGTTTGCGTGTCACAGCATCAGCGCCGAGCGAGTCCAAACTAGCTTGGTATCTGCGACGGAGCCTGGACAATCTGTGCCTGCTTCTTCAATGGTTCTCTACGGACAAAGTCGTCCTCGGACCGACAACAAGCAGTAGACCTACATCGCTTCGATGCAAGTACAGCACCTATAGATCCGTACTTTGCACAGAAACTTACATACATACTACTGTACACCTAGCTCCATCAATCAATCAATCGATCAAACGGACGGCTACCGCTCGCGTGGCCGGTGTCGCAGTCCCTCCAAACCAAAGTCAGTAGTTACCCGTCGATCAGCGGCGGCCCTCCTCTTGCTTCCCCTCAATTGCGTTTGCCCGTGGTTACATCGACATCTCCGCCTCGCCTGTCTGTGCCGATGGCTGGCTGTCGCCTCGCCTCCTCCTCCCCCCAGGCTCCCTCCCACACACACACACATGGGGCCCCGATGAGCTTCCCATGGCGGCGGGGCCTTCGGAAATGCTGGCGACCGCCCGGATCGGCGTGTCCCATCATGGCGCGGGTGTGCCCCTCCAGCATCCATGTCTTTCGTCAATCCGCTCCACTTGCCATCGGCGCCGCGCTGCGCAACAGGCCCTGTGAAGATGAACCGGGTCACTCTGTCGCTCATCAATGGGAACTCTGTAGTTGTTCGAACGTGCTTGCTGCAGGTGGAAGCAGTCGTCAACACCGTGTTCAACACCATGTCGTCCTCCTGGCGACGCATCAACGCTCGCCATGCCATGCTCTCGTCTTCCCCACAAGGCGATGCAGCCTGAGGCAAATAAGGCACCACACTTCTCCGCCCAGCCAGGCACAAGGCACCGCCCGCCCGCCCGCCAAGTTCCAACCCTCTGGTTCAATTCATCAATCCCCAGCGTCAAAACGCCTCACCGAACGAACACCACACACACTCAGACCAAGAGGGTCCTGCCGCCGCCACCTCCGCGCCGCGCTAGAACCCGAGTAATTTGTCCGTCGAGTCAAAGCCCGTCAAGTCAAGCCCGGTCAAGTCAATCGATCAATCATCAATCAAAGCCTTTGCGCGGGGCGTTTGGCCTTGTGCCGCCTGCCGATGGGTGATATCCATCGCCCCAGGCCGCTCGCTCTCTCTGTAACCTTACTTCGTGCGTACCTACCGCGTAGTGTATCTCGGTATCCCATCCTCCATGCTTACACCCGCTTGTTGAGCATCCCGGCAGAACCACGCAGGGGACGGGAGGGGAGGGGAGAGACAGAGCCGCCGGCACAGAACCCCCCTCCTCCCGTCGGCTCTCTCTTCCTTTTCCCCTCTCGCCAACCTGATTGATCCCTCTGCTCCGAGTCCGGGGCGGCGGCAGCGTGCTCGTCGCAGGCGTTAAAATCGCTAGTTACATAGTCCGTTCTTGAACGGGTGAACCGCCCCCGGACTTCATACCACGTCGCAGCGCCCGCCATCCGCGCACGTGGGGAGGCACCGCCCTGGCTCTGCCTTTCTTCGTACTTCGTAACCCACGTCCGGCGAAATGACCGGTTTGCCTACCTGCCTGCCTGCGTTGCCTGCCTAGGCCCCTGGCTCGCTCCAGTACCTACCGGTCCGGGGTTTTGCGCCGGACCTTCTTGGCCGTCTTTTTGCTAGGCTGCTTTCGCACCCCAACCAGCCCAGTCCCAGGAGCAGATACAGACACGCTCATGGAGCGGATTTTACTAGGGAGAGGGAGACATCGCGGGAATGTCGTGCGCTCACCCACGTGGGCGGACACATGTCGTTCTCGTCCCTGGCAGGCCCTTTACCGAGTCCCAAAATGGCTACCAGAGAAAATGTAGATGCACTCCCTCCCCAATCTTCTTTATCTCTCGTCGCGATGCACACGTGCTCGTGTCAAATAATTCTCTCTCTCTCTCTCTTGAGGGGCAATAAAGAAAAGCGTGAACCCGAATCCATCGCGACGGCCGCGCACGAGGGCCCCCATGATTCCAATGGGTGCCCGCTCCGGATGAAGCCGTCCAGTGCCATCTGGCGACTGGCTTCCTCCACCGGCTCCGTCCGTCAGCAGCCTCTCAGCGCTCTATCGATTCGTGACCCCCCGTATCGTGCGTGTCCGCCATTCATCCGCGTGGTGCCTGGCCCCATCATGGAATAGAGGGACACGGTAACGTTTGACGGATGCCAAGGCGCTGGTTTTCCGATCCCGACGTTTACACCGCACCGCAGCCCGTCGGGTGTAGATATGGGCGTGTACGGTGACGTACAGTACACTAAGTTTAGATCCTGGAATCACCACGACTAGAGCCAGAGACCCCCCTCTCACGATGACGAATTGTCTATACGTAGTCCGAGTTAAGGGCAAACAAAGCATTGTCCTCATCCATCGGATAGATACACGTGTTTGCGTCCGCGTCTGCGTTTGTACTTGCACTTGCATTCGCACCTCCAAATTGCCCACAACCTACTTTGTCAAATCGACCCTTTCCATGTACTCAGGAGGGTGACCAGCATCCTGCTACGCAAATTCATCAGCCTTGGCCACCCAGTGTCGTCCGGCTACTTGTACGATGCCGGATCGAGCATGCCTTGTCCAAAACACCACATCATGCGCCAAAACATGAAACATCCAGAGCACCACCGTGGCACAAATCAGTTTCCCTCGCCTGCCCGAGCGCCTCATGACAACTTCCCTTCGTTTCCTTCTCATGATCACATCCAGTTCGTCTCTTCTCATGGCCACATTCGATTCGTCTCCGCCTCAGATCCAATCCACGTCATGTTCTTCTCATGACCACATCACTTCGTGCTCTTCTCATCAATCTCCGTCAGGGGGCTCTCCGCAGCCGTCTGTCCCTCCAAAAACTCCCTCGGCCCGTGGTACCCGTGAATCATCTCCTCGTCCACGACACCGAGTCGCCCTGTGCCCGCTCGGCCGTCACTCCTCTTGCGCTGGTGCACAAGCGGCGGGCGTCCTCCCGGCCCCGGGGTCGTCGTCGCCACCGACCCGACACTCGTCGTGCTCCCACCGCTGCTGGATCGCTGCCGTTGCCGATGGTGCTCCCCGTTGTGGTACTGCATGTATGCGCCCGCAGTGCTTGGGTCGATTGGCGAGGGGCCGCCGGCCGAGGACGACAGCACCGAGACAGACGCGGGCGAGTTGGGGGGCAGCTCGGCAACGTATGGCTGGGCCTCGAGCTCGGCTACCAGCGTCGGCGTGGCGCCTCCGATGCTCGGGCGGCCCTCCGTTTCCGTGAAGGCGATGCTCGACGAGGCGTCAGACGCGTCGCTCACGTCCCGCCCGTGGCCGTAGTACCCGGGCCGAGAGTCGTGCGTCATGCGGCTCACCGTCCGTGCGACACCGCCCGTCTCGCTCGACACAAGGCGTTGGTGTCGCTGCTTCCGCTGCACGTACTGCGCATCAAAGTAGCCCGAGGTGATGGTGTCATTGTTCGTCGCGCTGTCCCAGCTTGGGTGGCGAGTGCTGCCCGGATGCCCGGCGCCTCCGCCTCGGCCCACGGGCTGGAAACCGCCGGCGAAGCTCGAGGGCGTCTCGTCTGGCGACGTCGCGCCGTACAAGTCCGGGGTGTCTCCGCTGATGCGTGAATCCAACCCCGGGCTAGGTCGGTGCATGTGCGGCGGAGATGGCGATGCTGACGACGGTAGCATCATGAGGGGGTCCACGCTCATCGTGTCGTTGTCCGAGTCGACCGACTGGAACGGCTTCGCCTTCTCGCCTCCTGCGTGCCGACCGCCGCCTCCGGTAATGGCGCCTCTCTTCTTTGCTTCCTTGTTCTTTCTCCGTTGACGGCGGAAGAGCAAGAAGCCCACAACGAGAACGATGATGACAAAGGCCACGGCGCCGGCCACGATGCCGCCCAGCTGCGCCGGAGATATGCCACCGCCACCATCCTCAGACGCGGCCCCTGTGGGCGACGTCTTGGCCACCACTGAGGGAAAGTACTTGAGCACCTTTTGTGAATCTCCGTCCTGACCGGCAACAACTGTCGGCAGAGCAGTGGGCACGTCTGGTGTTCCAACGATCGTCTTTGTCGTTGTGTAGATGCTCGTCTTGCCGCCACTCGCCTTTGTCGTAATCACCATGATATCGGTCTTGGTCGTCGGAGCCGTTGCGTAGCACTGGTTCACCGCGCAGCCCATGCCGTTCGGACAACAGCCATAGCTTGCAGATGCCGGACACAAGAAGTGGCCCGTCGGACAGGCATATGTGTAGGCCGAGCCAGACGGCGGTACGCAGTTGGCACCGCGCTGGCATTGGTAGCCGTCTGGACAGCAGCCTCCTGAAGAGAAATCAGCAACGGCTAGTTGACGAGCTCGAGGCCTGGCGTCGAGCCATCATAAACAGACGGCACTCACCTCCGTAGACGGCCGCGCAAGGATACCATCCCACCATCGTGCCGCACGTTGACGGCCCCTTGGTCGTTGCGACGCAGCTCCCTATCGCACAGTCGTAGTCTTCTGGGCAGCACCCTCCGTCCAGGCTGCTTGGACACAGCTTCATACTCACGCCGCAGACGCCGCTGCCGTCTCTCTTGTCGGCAAGGACCGCACGACGGGTGACCTGCAGCGCCCGCTTGTCCACGCGGTGAACTCCGCCGTCGCCATACCGCTTCTGCATGTTCGCGTCGGCTGTGATCACTAGTGATGCTGCAACGGCAAGAAGTTGGAACTTCGAGTTCCGTGTCATGGCTGCGGCTGCTTATGTGTCTGTGTAGTCGCCGTCCTATACGCCTGCCGCGATCGTAGATTGGGACCGGGCGCTGCACGAATGAGTTGCAGAAGTCTGCCCAACGAGGGCCAAGCCAGGGCCAGCCACGTCTGAAATCTTAGATCTGACTTCTTGAAAAGACGATGGTGGCTTCAAGCTGGCACCGATGAGGCTGCTCTTGAGCTAAGTCAGTACTGTACAGTGTCGTACTGTTGCACATGGCGACCAGCAAGACCAGGTGTGACGGCGCATCTCATACCTAAGGCTTCAATGATTAGGGCCAACAGCCGGTGATTATATCGCAGGCGCCACCAGACTGAGCGGTGTTGCGTGGCTGGGAGGTGCGAGTCAGGCTACCACTTGACGCTCGGCCATCGGATGTGAGCCAACTGCGGCGCTACAGCCCTCGGCGAGGCTCTTTCTGTTCTTGCGATGCGATGGACGGATCGCGATCGCGAAGACGACAACTTGGAATGGGAATTGATGACTGCGACAAGTCGCCGTGCCTGACGCGGCAGACGAGGGGAACAAAGATGACCACCAGCCCCTTCAGCCGCAGTCGATGCACAAGGCGTCAGATGCATGCGCGGTACCAGCTTCGGACCCGTGTTGCCCATGGTTTGCTGCACCCAAGTGCCGCGACCGACCAACAAGACCTCGATGCCCGCAACCAGGGACGTGCTGCCAGTGACAAACCGCACACGTTCCAGAGAGAGCGATTTTCAACTTCCGGTCTTCTCGTCCACGGCGGTTCCCCTCTCTCTTCTCCTGTTTCCTGAAAAGCAACCCCATTCAAGCAGCCGAGCAGGCGCCGCGAGCCACCAGTCCTGGCCGGGCCATGCTGACCTGACAGCCATGCCTCGCGTCGCATGGGGATTCCGGTCCGGTGGGCGCACAGCACGTCGCACCGCATGGAGGCAGAGCCCGCCAAAAGGGCTGAGCAGCTCGCAATGGTGGTCTCGCAACGTGCAAAGCGCGGAGCATATCTGACCGGCCCCCTCCCCTCCACATCCGGATTTCGCAGTCCCCGACGCTGCGGAATCCTTGATTGGGGCCGCACCGGTGGCATCTGCTGCTGCGGTGGCATGGGGGCCAAGTGTGATTCGCATGAATGCGCGAATCTGTTGGCTGGGCCTGCAGCTAAGGCAGAGCCCATGTCGTGCATTGCTGCTTACGGGAGGGGAACCCGGGCGTCGTTTCGTTCCCCTCTCCCCCTCCGCCCTCCTCAGTTTGACCTCGACCGACATTCGACTTCTTGTTGTCCTCGTCTTAGCATCCCGGGGCTGGGGTCCAGGTACCACCGAAAGGTGGTATGCGGTACGTCGTGCATCGCCCCATGGTCGTCGTTTCTCCGTGACCGGAACGCAGTGCATGCACATTGTCATGAGCCCACCCGACGTGAACAAAGTTGTCGAAGTGATACCGGTGATTTCAGATTGCCGGAATACGTTCCGCTGCTGTGTGGCGGGACGGGAAAGTGCCGTATAGTACTGCTCCGTCCAGCCAGCTTGGGCTCATAACAGTTGCGCGACAGAGACTGCCCAACACCTCGTAAAGAGGTCAGACCTCACTGTGGCGTGATCACTTCATCAGAAACTTGACAAGACACCCCGCGAAAGGACGTTTCAGCAGTGGAGCAGTCCCTGGCAGTCATAGTGTTTGAACAAGAGCCTCCGGCTTGCTTAATGCGCCCCATCAGCACAGTCGGGCTCCAGTCTGGACATATGGGGGCACGCCGCGGAGTCGCAGCAAGGGCTGTCCCCGGCCCCGTGCGTGCATGTCGCGCTTCCTCGCGCATGCCGTCGTTTGAGAGACCAGAGGTTTCAGACGAACATGAGATTTGCGCAAAACTCCATTGGGATGTTCAAGGGTCCAGCGGCGGCATGATCGACGTCTAGAATGCGCATCGAAGGAGCAAGACGCACACCGGCATGGCTGGGATCCGGAGGCGTTCGATAGTCGACTTGGCTGATGCAGATCGCCGGGGAGCAGACGACTAGCTGGTGCGTTTCGGGCAGGTTGCAGAGGAGCCGTTCGCGATAGGGTCCATCAACATGAACGTAACAACGGGAGACGACGCGATTGGCCTGCTGGACGACGCTCGTACGCAATTTGATATGTAAAATGCGAACACGGTATGTACGAAGCACCTCGTCGCACAACTTCATCCACGGTCAGATGCCGGAACTGGACGTCAACGGCACGTTAGACGCTTGATCCAAGATCAAATCATTGCAAACGAAGTCGGTATGGATCTGCGTCATACCCGTCGAGTCCTTTTGGCTACTACCCAGTGCATGACCCATGTCGTGGAGAACGGAAGATGGTGCGGCGCGGGTGCCGGCTTCGGTTGAGTGGAGCGAGCCGCCACAAGGGAGCATCACAAGGTTGGCTGAGCCGGAGCGATAGAGGTCGGCCGTGCAGACTTGGAGAAGCGACCCGGGATTCGGACTGATTGACCAGTCGAGGGCGGGACGTCGTAGAGTTTGCCGAGTGCCAAGGTAACAAGCGAGGAGTACCCGCCGTTATCGTGTTGCTGGCGAGGTGGACGACTTGAAGACATGCCACGGGCGCCGCGGACGCGGCTCTCACAGATGAGCGAGCTTGGCAAGATCGTGAACAAAAGGGCTGGGACCACCTCCGCAGATTGCTCAACCTTGGTTGCTCGTCGTGTTGGCTGATGAGGCGTCTCCCGTGTGGGGTTGGGCTGGGTCGTCGGGGCATCGCCGTTCGTATCGACGCAAGCTGCCCTCTGGGGACTCGCTTATTGGCTCCGTGGCTGTAATTAACGAGCGTCATCGGAGCCGACATGGCGACGATGCAGTGCTGGCTGTTGCCCGCGCATACAGTACGCGGTAAAGACATTCACGATGGCAGGCGTGGCGCGCGGCCCGCCGCCCGTGCTCTCATCTGACGGAACATAAGTGCCGCGACTGGCTCACTCATCCCTCGGGCATACAGCGGCGTTGATGTGAGGCTCGGAGGCGCAAGGTGCTTACGGCGCAGCAGAACATGGGGTCGTGATTTGACGGAGCCGATGCCGAGTCATCTTTGTCGCGTGTTCGTCGAGTCGCCAGGGACCTGGTCTTGTTGGTCGCCTCCCCGTCTCTCCATCCCGGGCCGTCGACAGGAATAGCACGTGGCTGAGGCATCACGAACCCACAAGACGAACAGTCCGGGCATGCTGTCGTCTGTCCTAAACCAGTTGCGAACAGGCATGATCGACGTCGATCGCCTGCGTGGAAGGAAAAGGCACGTTGCATAACATGCGCAGATCAACGCCACAGCACGTTTTGTGGGCTCGGGGGCTCGCTCCGTTGGGCGGTCGTGGGCTGATATGTGCCAGCCCCGGGACGACAGCCAGGGCGGCGATGGTTGTGTAGGTATGCGTCAGTCAAGCAGGACGGCAGTGGCATCATTTGTCGCTGAACGAGGGCGCTGACTCGGCGTCCGGGGTGGTCCTTTGCAGGGGGACGGAGACGGCATTGCCTGGACGGCGGCGAGACGATGGCGTCGTCGACGTGGACTTCGAGCAGAGGCCCGAGGGGCTAATGCGGTTCGTGGTGGCCATGTCGCAGCGCAGCGCAGTGCAGCGATCGGGAGGACTGCCGGGCGGCGATAGGCGACGGGTGAATTCCAGAAGACGTCGGTGAGTTTCCAAAGAGCGAGAGCGAGGTGCGAGGCGTGGAGCCATTGGATGCAGGGAGGGGAGACGGGAGGTCAGCTAACTAACGTGTGGTTGCGACAACGCCACAGGGCAGCCCCGGGGGTCGGTCAGCGGCCAGCCCAGCGAGGCGTCGCTCCACCCCAGTGGCCCGGTGTCGCTGGCCTGCTGAAACCTGGAACCTGGAAGCCAACAACCCAGTGCCCGTGCAGGGTTGAGTTGCCCCGCCGCATTCAATGCCCCTCAGGCTCGCCCTGGCTCGTCCGGGCGGGCTCTAGTGGGCTCGCTGTAAAGTGTACTTGGTGGTGGATGCGCCCCTCCACGGTCGTTGATGCCGCACTTAAACTCCGTCTCCTCGCTTGACGAAGCGACACTCCACATCTCCAGATACAATGGATATTCTCGCCAGTCGCCAACGCGCCATCACATACTTCGTGAGGGAATAATGCCGTTACTAAGGCAAATTCTGCAGAAGCAGCTGGTTTTCTTTGATGACAGAGGCATGGAAATAGTGCCACTTTGACGCTGTTGGACCGCCCGTCGTCGCTCCATCGGCCGTGCTACTCGCGCGCTTCAAGACCCCGCGAGGTGTGTTGCCGCGCTGCAGTGGCAGTCAGGGTGTGGAGGCGCCTTCCGGGCAGTGGACGTTGCAGGTTTACAGCCGGAGGACGTGACGGCAGCGTGCAGTGAAGTGCAGGACATTGCAGGGCACCTCAGCAGGTTGGGGAACAGCTGGAGCCACCAGGTGGCCCTGCCCTGGCCGCTCGTCCCCGCTACAGCGACGGACAACGAGTCGTCCTCCAGACGGGCCGGCGTGCCTTGTGCTTTTGCAGCGTGGTCGCCGCCACAAGGGGCCCGCAAAGGGCTTAGGGCAGGCCCACGTGGGGCGACTCCAGGTGGCATGAACATGGAGACTCGAGGGCTTTTGTTTTGGGCGCCACAGGGCCTCCACCTGACAGTCGGCATGTACATTTGGCACTCAGTGTACCGCCGGTGCTCCACTGCCCAGGGAGCAGCAGCAGCCAACACGATCACATTGCAGGCAGAACAAGCCGTCACCCCGGAGCCCGTTTCGGTACCGTATACTTTGCAGATGGGGAGACGGGAGGCTCGTCGCAACACTCGTCCGAGCGATCGTCAGACGCGAACGGGCGACGGCGTGGAGGCGGGGACGGAGAGGCTTGCCGGGCTCCCTGGCCACGCCTGGCCCGCAGCCTGCAGACGAGCCGGGGGGGGGGGGACAACTGGAAGGTGATGGGGACAGGGCCCAGCGGGTGCCGTGCTTCGTCCTTCGTACGAGGCATCGGCGAGAGACCGCGAGCGCGGTCCCCGGAGGAGCAAAACAGCCAACGGGTGGTGCCCGCGAGGCCGGCCGTCACCTCACATTGCCTTTGGGAGGGGGAGCGGGATTGAGTGAAGGTTAAGGCGCGGACGCCGCGCGGGCGGGCGATGGAAATGTCACGATGGCAGAATCGCCCACTCCCGGGGGACCCATGATGAGGCCCATATGGCCCATGATGAGGCGCCATCAGGTCCATCAGCAGCATCAGGCAGTAGGTGAGGTGTGGAGAGGCGCCGCCAGCCACCAGCGCGCGCCGGCCGCTGCAGAAGAGCCATCTTTCCCCGTTTCGCCCCCCCTCCCTCGAGCGGCATCGTGGAGGGGGGAAGGGGGGGAATCCGTCATCCATCCTGGGCTGGAGCGTAGCCTACTCGAGGCAAGGTTGGTCTTGCTCGTGGATGGGATCGTATGTACCTCTCTACCTGCGCGCGTGCTGCTGAATCGTCGCCCCCTTTGTCAACATTCTTACCAACCTGGGGCGGCCCGGTGCTTTGCTTGCTGGCGGTTGCGTTGCTCGGCCCTGCTTCCCCGTCTCGTCTGTTCGACCCTCGATGCCGGCCTGCCTCCATCCCATCCATCCGTCCATCCCATCCGTTCCTCTCGTGACATTTATTATCACCCTCGCCGCCGCCCTCTTGGTCTTGTCCGGTCGCATGCCTCGCCACCCTCGACTTGCCCCCTTTTACCTTGACCTCGCTCCCGTCACTTGGCTCTTTACCGAGCACCTCGCGTCTTCAACACGACCTGCTACTTTCTCTGCCACCCTGGCCTCGGTGTGCTTCCCTCACCACGGGTCTTGTTCGCCACAGCAGCTCGACGCGGTACGGCGCCTGCTTGGCAACCCCAGCCTGCCTTGACCCCCAGGCTTGGCTTCCACGACCATGAACAGCTGAGGCCACCATCGCGTAGCGAGGCGACTCACCTCCCAGTCGACTACATTTTTACCTCACCTACGAAGCACCTACTAGAGCGTTTAACCTTGTACGGCCGCTGCCATGCTGCTGTACTCGCGAGTTGCGCCGCCCAAGGTCCCCAAGCGGCGCTCCCGAGCTGGTGAGTCCCGTCTCTCCGCACGCGCGCGTCCGCCGTGGTCTATCTTAACCCGCCCTACCCCGGCCAATTGATCGCTGACGACATGTCTCATCCGTCTGCGGGGTGCAGGCTGCAATTTTTGGTAAGACAGGACCCCTTTTGCCATGTGCCCCTGACGAGCCTGTGAACGTTTGCTGACACGCACGCGCCCTCTGCAGTAAAGAAAAGGTACATCCATCTCCTCCTTCACCAGGTGAGGCTTCGTCGTCACGTCACGTCGGGGCCTCCCATCACCACCACCTGCCCAGAGTTCTCACACACGCCCTCTCCACAGAAAAAGAAGTGCGACGAAGCCCGTCCACGGTGCTCGCGCTGCGAGGAGCACGGCCACGAGTGCCGCTACGATCCCGTTAAGCCGCGCCAGCGCCGTAGGGCCGACCAGGCTGCAGGGCTTGGCCAACAGCCCGACCTCGACGACGATGACGGTGCCGGCGATGCGGACGACGAGCAGGGCTCCGCGGGCGCGGGCGCGGGTGCAGGCGCAGGCACCCCCGAGCGCGCTGTGCGCCAGCCGCTCTCCGTGACGACAACGGGACTGGGGCTGGGGCTTGCCCGGCAGCAGCACCACCTGCACCAACGCCGCCAGCGCCAACACCGCCAGCGCCAGCGCCAGCACCAGCACCAGCACCAGCATGGGCACGCCTGGGAGGGGGGCTCGTCGTCCGATGCTTCCCCCGACACGGCCTACGACGACTGGCCGCATAGCGCCGACCAGTTCGACCCGCTTCCTCCTAATCGGCCGCAGGCGGCGCCGACGACCGCGACGGCTTCTTCCGCTACAGCGTACTCCCCTTGCACCGACTTTGGTGCATTCTCCCTGGACGCCTTTGACGGTCCTCTAATACTTCCGCTTGACGACGGCTCCATCAGCGAGCAGGACGGCAACGCCTCCCCGTCCATCACCAACGCCCTCACCAACTTCTCGGTCGATGCCTCGTCGCCAGCATCATCCACCAGCCAGTCCCTCGCCTACGTGCCGCCCTCGCCTCGCTTCGAGTTCACGGCACCCGCCTTCTACGAGTTCTCGCGCGACGCCGGCCGCCGCAACCTCATCGCGCACTTCTGCAACACGCTCTCGCACCTCATCGTGCTACGCGAGGATGAGGGCAACAACCCTTTCCAGCAACTCGTGCTGCCCCTCTCCCACGGCAGCCAGGCCGTCACTGGCGCCATCTACGCTCTCGCCAGTGCCCACCTCGAGGTCCGCGGCGTTGACCCGGGCGGAGCCCATGCCAGTGTCCGCTATCACAGCCAGGCCATCCAGGGCCTGGCTCGTCTGATTGAGCAAGGCGACGGCGTCGACAAAAATGAGCTACTCGCGGCGATTATGCTGCTCATCTACTACGAAGTGGTATGTGTCTCTTGCCCTTTTCTCTTCACGACACTGGGCTGACTCTGTCACAGCTTGTCCAGCGTGGTCGCTCCAACCTCGTTGACGGTCATCTCAAAGGCGCCATGGCCATCATGGGCAACGCCCCTCCCCAGAACAACCCCACTGGCGTCTTCCTTGAGAGGGTGAGTCCTTTTCCAGCCCATGCTCTCCGACACAGCGACGACTGACTGTCCTAGGCGTTCCGGTTCTACGATGTCATTGCCGCCCTCTCGTTTGGCACCGCCCCTCTGTCACACTGCCCGTCCAGCGGCGGCTTCACGCCCTTTGCGCCGCTTGACTCGCGAGGCACCACCGTCGCGTACGACAGCGTCGATGCGCTGCTGGGCATGGCCACCTCGCTGTGGCCCGTCATCCACCGCCTATCCAACCTGCTGGCCCTCAAAAACGAGCTCACCGCCGCTGTCGCCGCGGGCGAGCTCTCCAAGGCCGCCGTGCTGCGCACCGAGTTCGACTCGACGTGCGCCGCCATCGAGATTGCTCTGCAGGAGTGGGAGCCCATACTGCCCCAGGACTTCCAGGGGCAGCGCTGCTCGGACGGCGACAAGGCCAAGGACGGGGAGCACCGCCACCTGCAGAGCATCCTCAACAGCGCGCTGGCGTACCGCCACTCCGCGTTTGTGTACCTCTACCGCAGCATCTACGACTGCCCGCGCCGACACCCGGTGGTGCAACTGCACGCGCACGTCAGCCTGACGCACTGCGAGGCGACGGTGGCCCACGGGGGGCCCATGGGGTCGCTGCTGTGGCCGCTCTTCGTGAGCGCGTGCGAGGCCACGGAGCCGGCCGACCGGGCGCTGGCGCGGCGCTCGTTCGCGGGCATCTCGCGCCGCCAGGGCATGAAGAACATTGAGCGCGCGTGGTGCGTCGTCGAGGAGGTGTGGCAGCGGGCGGACGCGCTCGAGGACGCGGCGGAAGAGGAGGACGTGGGGTTCCTCAAGATGCCGGGGACGAAGCGGCGGTGCGACCTCTGGCGCAAGGTGAGCGCAGACATGGGCTGGACTATTGTGTTTGGGTGACGAATGACGAGGTGCCTTTGGGAGCGTGTTACCGGGCGTTTGGAATACCTCTTGAGCGAGCGGGGCGGTCGGTAGAGGAAGCGAATAGGCATCTACGGGATGCTAGGGCTGGGAACAGATGCGGAACACTTGAATACACGCGAGCGCCAGTGTCTCCTGGCTTGAGCTGCGTCATAATACACTCCACATGGATGCACACTGCTTGGGCGTGTCATTGCGGCTTCACCCGTTCGCAGGTATGAATCGTGTACTTTGTATGGGCAACTTCGGGGAGCGTCGGGCGCAGATGGTCCGCAAAACGGGCCCGCCAACGCTTTCGCGCTGCAGAATAGGGGGCGATGACCGGATGATCTACCCATGGACTGGGAAGGGTTGTGCTCGTTCGACGCATGATGTGTTGCGACGCAGTCGAGCAGGCGAGGTGAAGTAAGTGTTGGCTACCCTAGTCCCTTGGGGCCAAGTAGTCGCGCTGGAGGCGACATGCTTGCAAGGAGACGGATATGATGGCACGTAAGACATGTTGTTGGGGACGAAGGGTAGAAAGAAGCAGTTGGTCGTTCACCCCGTTGCGCCCCACCGGTCGTCCACCAGCCCGATCAGATCCAGTGCAGTTGAATCCCTGACGCGTGTGGCAACGTCTTGGAATCGCCTGGGCTGGCCGGGATGCCGGGATCGCGGCACAGGAAAGTCCGCAGGCCAACATGCCTTGACCAGGGGGTTCAGCGTTGGAATTCAGGTCTTCACTGGCCTCCGTCGTCCCAACTTACAGGCTGCAGCAGTTAGTAGCGGGTACGAAGTACGGGATGGCTGATGACGGGCGCGCTGGCTCACTCACTCACGCCATGCTGACATCTGATGGACGTGAAGTGAGCAAGACGACTGGACGAACGGTGGATCCCCCATGGGGACGGACGGACGGCCCCTCCACCCCCCTGGCGGCCCCCCTGAAAGGATACGCCCACAGAAAAACAAGCTCTGGACGTTTGCGGGGAAGATGGAAGGGAGGGATGGAAGGGTGGCGGTGCTGGTACTTACTAGGTGCCGGTGGTGCTGAGCGGGGAGCCCGGGGGTTGGTGCGACGGCCGGGATGGATGGTGGATGGAGGTGAGAGAGATCGCTGCGTGTGCTCGTCGTTCTCGGGTGACGGAGCACGCGAGCTGCTGTGCGAGGACGGTGAGAGCGCGCGGGATGGCTGCTTCTCCTCCGCGTGTAGGAATTGTGCGAGGCGGCATTGGCATCAATCACGACGTGCATCCCCTGGGTGTGCTCGCATAGTGACGATGCCGTACCGTGCCATGCCGTTGGTTTTGTTTCTCTGGCACGTGCTGCTGGATGTGCTGGGGCGGCGGGCTGGGCCGGTGTGTTCGACGTCGATGCGGCGGGTTTGACATTGAGGTGAGCGAGCTGAGCGACCGGCTGGAATCAGGGACGGCCGCTGGATGGAGGGATGGATGATGGGTCAATGGATCAATGGACGGATGAGAGCGGCAGGGCACGCCGTCTGAGGTTCCACGCGCCGCCCCGCGTTGCGCTGCAGATGCCTTAGTACCTGACGTTATGCCTCCGGCTGCTAGTTATACCCGCTGAGTGGTCGCATGAGGTTTCCTTCCATGCAGTCCAGCCGCTTTTTCTTCTTCTTCTTTCCTTCATGGGCGGGATTTTTTTTCTAGATTCCCCTCCCTCCCCTCTTTGCGGCGCCACTGTTGTCACCCAGTGCGCCTGTGGAATAGTCACGCATATATGCAGCAAATGGTCAGATGGGCACCGCCAGCTACATACTAGACCTCCAGACGGACAGCGTATTGTCTGGCGCGATATATGTGGGCTCGGCGTTGAAAGGTCCGTTGCTGGCAGCCAGCTCGGTCGAGGCGCCCCGAGCTGCCCCAGCTTGCAGGCGTTGATCGGCGGGCAGACAGCTGCATTGGATCAAAGAGGGAGAGAAAAACCCTGAGGTGTCAGCGCAGAGCCCGCAGCGGCGTCGCGGGGAACAGCGCCACGCCCCGCGACCACGGGACCCTGTCGAGCCATTCTCCAGCTTGCTCCCACTGCTGTGGCGCCTGGGCACCTAACCCTGGAGGTTGACCGCTGGTGATGTTTTTGGCTCCCCTTTTTGCTTTTTGGTACCTGGGGGCGTTGCCAGAACCTTCCGTTGTTTTTTTTGCTTTCAGAAGGCCGGCGTGTCCCTGGAAGTTAACAGACGAGGCGCGCGCCAGTGGCTTGCGATTCATCAAACCGGTACATAGAGTTCAGCCGTGACGGGCCGCCGCGGGCTGCCGGCGGGTGTGAGACATGCCCATGGCAAAGGGGACCTTAACCCACGGGGGGGGGGGACAAAACGCCACGGCTGGCTGGGCCTGGCCTTGGGGCTGGCGGGAGGACGGGAGCGGGAGCATGTAAAAAAGGTGAACCACCCCGGAGCGCCGCACTGTCAATCTGGAACAACGCCTGTTTGAAACTGGCAAAGCTGGACATGTTCAGCTGGTTCAGCTGCGCATTTAACTGGCATGTCTCTCTCACATCGTCTTCGCCTGCCTGCTTCTCCCATAGACGCGCGATCGCACGGCGCGCGCCAGGTTCTCCACGGAGCCCCAGTAAATCAAACCGCCCTGGCATCGGTGATGGGCTCGGCAGGAGTCCCGAATGCGCGAGGTTCCATTCTTTTTCCCCCTTCCTTCCCTGCCATGCCATGTTCGCCTTCGCCAAGCTCAAGATGATCCATCTGTCAGCGGCGACCAGATGTTGGAATGGCCCCCCCTTTCGACGCTGGCTCTAGGCCCAGTTTAGAGTGGGATCGTCTCTGTCTCTCACTCTCTCTCTTACCCTCGTTGTTAGCAGATTAAGTACGTAGCAGAAAGGGCCCTCCCGCCGTTCCATTGGGAAAACTCGCTCCACGTCCACGGGCGGGTACCCGAGCTTTGGGTCGTTTCCCGGGTCCCCGTTCCTTGGTGCCCGAGATCCGGAACCTGTAATGCCTTTGACACAGCGCGAGAAGTGAAGGAGACGGTGCGGCGCAGCGCAGAGCTTGACCGTCGTCTATCAGGTATTCTTCCTCGGCGCACATTTCTATTAGGTCATGGGCACCCGGCAGGCACACGCGGACCAGCACCGCAGGCAAGATGGCAACGCACGTTGCTGATTTGCAGGCCACCATCTGCCGGGAACGGCGCTGGGCCGTGCTTGAATTAGAGAACGGACGGGGCGTCCATTGCTGCCGACGCCAGGGCCGGCCCTAGGCCTCTGCATGCGTGGCCAACGCCCGCTGCCAAGAACCATGCATCAGCGAAGCGGCTCCTCTCCTCTTCGACACGCCCGACCTCGTCACAATGAAATCAGGTTCAATTCATTGGCGGCGTCGGCGCAAGCAGCAGGAGCACGGGCAGGGCGAGCAAGTCGGGTTGGGTGCCCGGGTGGACGGGATGGATGAGGGATGCCCCGTGGGCGCCAAATGAGCTCCTTTCGGGGCCGCCCCGGGCACCTGAGGGCCTTCTCCAGGGCTCCTCCCCCGTTAGCGCAGCACCCCTGTGGACGCTCCGGGGGCCGTGAGTGCAGCCAGTGTGCTCCCCCAGCGTGCGAGCGCCAATTGTCTTGCGGTGGCTGCCCTCAACCTCCCTGTCGCCACCCGACCCTCCCTGTCCTGGGCGGCCGCTCTCCACAGCCCACCCACACACCCGCACCCTGGGACACACACCAGACGGAACGTCTGCACCACGCCACCACAGCCGACGCGCAGCTCCGGGCCACCAGCACAACCACCACCACCACCACCATCAGCGCTGCACAACCGTTGTCCGTCTGCCGGCCACAACCACAGCCATCTGCAATACAAAGTACCTGCCTGGTTGCGCACCGTACCATACCATACCTCGCCTCGCCTCGCCTGCTTCTCCTCGCGCGCCTGACCTGCCACCGTCACCGTTTCCTCCCCTCGACATCTCGCGATCCCAGCCCGTCCCGCCGAGGCCTCGCCTCCCAGCATCCAAGTCCACGCCCCCAGGCCTTCCCAGACGCCCGTCGATTGCGACCGCCTCAGCACCGACCACCATGTCTGGTGACGTCTCCGACTAACCCTGTTGTTCTGAGCGTCCGATGCTTCCCCTCCCGTCGGGAGCCTGACCGGCACCTCCAACACACGCACATATCGACGACCGTCCAACACCCACCGTCCCGGTCATCGGCCGAGACGCACCTCTTCGCCCCCTCCTCGTCGGCGACGACGACCGTCTCATCGCCCCCCGACCGCCATGCTCGACTGCTAAGCCATGACGACGCTGCTCAACAAGTCGGATTCCGGTCCTCCGCTGCGCCAGATCCGCTTCGTCCACAACCAGGGCCAGCCGCCCTCGAAGCGCCGCCGCATCAACGCCGCGTACGTCTGCCCATGCTACCATACCGGCCCATGACATGCCCGTCTGCCCCCTTGACATGCGTGCTGCGTCGCAAATCGTTGGGCCGCTGGGCAGTGAAGCTAACTGACTCCCTCGCAGATGCTTGACGTGCCGCCGACGAAAGACGCGATGTGCTGGCGAGCGACCCATTTGCTCGACCTGTACGAAGAATGGCCATCAGTGCCTGGGATATCCCGAGGATGCGAGAAAGGATGGCACAGACACGGGCGAGTCGAAGCACGTGGACGATGAGGACCTCAACGAGGAGCATCAAAGCGACGACGACGATAGAAAGGCCTTGAAGCCTGACGCTCCCTCTGCGAGCTCGGCGCCCGATGCGGCTCCAGCAATTTCACCACCAAGAACAATAGCTGTCGCGCCAAGATCTGCGCCTGCGCGTCCTGGTGCTGTTGTCGAGCCCGAGCACGATGTCGACGTCAAGCCTGTGGTCTCGCCCTCTTCGCATCATCAATCACACCCGTCAGCCGCCACCGACGACATGCCCAGCTCGCCGACGCTGCGCCGCAACCACAACAACCGCATCCCGTACTTCCGGTATTTCGGCCCGACGGCGATTGTGCCCGGCTTCAAGCAGATGGTCGTCTCTGTCCGCGACCGGCGGCGATCGACAGGTGGGTCGCAGTCGGGCACGTCACCCATGTCCACGCCCAGCGGCGTCCGGGGAAGCAGCTGCGCCGCCGGGAGTGACATCGCCGTCGAGGATCTGCCCGCCTACGATCCCAACAGCCCGGGACCGGTGCATCCCCTCATCATCAACCTCGTCAAGACCTTCTTCGTCCACCTCGGCTGCAACTACCCATTCCTCAAGCAGCCCAAGTTTCTGCGCCTCGTCATTGAGAAGCGTGTCGAGCCCATTCTCGTCGATGCCATATGCGCCCTGGCCGCGAGGTTTTCCGATGCCCCGCCGCTGACCGGCGGCAACGAAAAGATGCCGCGGACGGAGCGCGGCCAGGTATTCGCCATGCGCGCAAAGCATGCTACCGTGGACACGTTCCCGTGCCCGTCCGTGGGCGCGGTGCAGGCCTGTCTGCTCATGGCCTACGAGGGCTTCGGTGCTAACCAGGACAGCGCCTTGTGGATGTATCTCGGGCTAGCCATCCGCATGGCCATCGACCTCGGGCTTCAAAAGCGCGTCGGTATCCAGTATCAGGGCGAAAAGGACCCATGGTACACAAGACACCGGAGCCGCGTCAACGGGGAGTCCGAGAGCCCAGAGGAGAAGAAACACGACGAGGTCGACGCTCTGACTGTCGAGGAGCAAAGAGAGGTCGAACAAGAGCGCATCGACACGTTCTGGGCCGTCTTTATCCTCGATCGTGTCATATCCTCGGGCACAGGCCGGACAGTCACCTTCCGCGAGGATGACTTTGAGCTCCCGTTCCCGAAGCCGGCCATCGACCCTGCCACTGGCTGGCCGTCTCTATTTCCCGTCTTCCTCGAAATTATTCACCTCTACGGCCGCGTGTCGGACGTGCTCAACAATATCCACAACGTCAAGGATCTAGATCAGGACAAGTGGACGAAGCTGTCCAAAATGGAGCATCAGCTTACCCGTCTGTACAAGAATTGGGATGCGAGGCTGCAGTTCAACGTTGGCAACTTCAAGGCATACCTCAGCGTCGGACAGGGCACGACTTTCCTCCTGCTTCACTTCTGGTTCCATGCGCTTTTCATCATTCTCCATCAGCCAACGCTCTTGACGCCGTTTGGCGACCTCCGCGGCGAACTTCAGCTTCTTTCCGACAGCCGAGAATTGAGCATGAGCAGCGCGAAGACGATTTGCGATATTTTGGCCTTTGCAGACCTCATAGACCCCAAGAGCTTCATTGGCAACCCGTTCACCAGCCAGCCTATATATATTGCCGCTTGTGCTTTTTTGATGGAGTCGAGCGCGAACGCTTCGGAGGGCCCGTCTAGGGAAGCGTCACCGCCAGCCTCCAACAACGCGGGCCGGCACAGAGAGCGCGTCAAGCCTGCCAACTCCAAGCCCTCGAGGCATTCGCTGCTCGCCTCGGCGGCCAACCAGAACTACCAGAGATGCTACAACTCCCTGCAGCAGCTGCACACGCACTGGGGCGGTGTCAAGTACATCTTGACGGCTTTGGACCAAAAGTCCAAGGGTATTTGGGACTGCGAGACGTACACTTCCGAAGAGTACGAGAGCACCAAGGCACCGCCTACAAGAGGGAGCATCAGCGGCGAGCTCGCCACAGCCTCGCCAAAGATGGGCGGGGCGCCCCCGATTGCGTGGAGTCTCGCGGGCACGGCCAACTCGCCCAACTCGAACCTGACGCTTCTCTACCAGAACCTGAGCAGTGGCGTTATGACACCATCTTCCGCCCCCCAGAGCATGCCGCAGCAGGCAGGGACACCACCGGGCAACATGGTGTATGACCCTATCCGGCAGAGCCTGCCAGCAGAAGCTGGCGGCATGTATCCGCCTGCCGTTCCCCAGGCCACCACATCGGCGATCCGTCACTCGCCACAGACAGGGAACAGCAAGCCCCGACGGCCGTCTAACCTGTCTGGAGTGTCAGTCCCTGGGCAGGTAGCGACGGCGGGGAGATACGACGGGCTTCAGGAAGAGAGCGACGGAACCAGGGTCTTTGTGCCCCCTGGCTACACTCCGTCCAGCCAGCATTCCGGGGGCTTCGAGGCATTCAGCGCCTCTCCGGTCAGTAATTTGGCAGACGCCGCAAATCGGAGCATGGCCCACGCGGCCGCGCCGCATAATGTATATTACAACCACCACATGCCCTACCAAACCGGATGGGGCTACGGAATGGGCAACATGGACTCCATCACATTCGACAGCCAAGACATCGACATTGGCGCGCTGGGGCTGCAACAGCCTGAGCTGATGAGCGGGTGGCTGGATTACATCCCGAGCGATGTGCTGGGGCTGTTTGAGAACCAGAACATGGGACAGGGGAGCCAAGACGGCACCGGAGGACACTGATGATGGGGTGAGCCGGTGCTGGTTTGAGGAACTACTCCGTTCGATGTTGCTGGTGATGTTATTTCCGGCATGGCGTTGCTTTTCGATCTGGACGTTTGTTCTCAATGCCTTTTAGCCATGGGAGCGGGATTATCTTGGGCATTTTTCTTAACGACGGATTGCGGGACAAGGGGCACAGCTTAAAAGGACACCTCCGATGACACGACCATATTTTTTGGAGGATATTTTGTGCTGTTCATATTTCGCTTTGCACGAGGCGTGGCATCTCCTGTTTGGGGTGGACTTATTGGGAGACTTTTGCTGGGACATGAGGAGTTGGGATCTGAGGCGGGTTGTCCGCGCTGAACATGTACTACACCCGCCCGGTCTGGCTGCCGAGGCTGACTGCAGGGCTGGGAGGAACCTGGCAGTATGATCAAGACTCGAGTCTAGCGTTTCTCGTCTATATTGTAATCACATTATTATTACCCGTCACGCAGACTACGCAGGCTTGTGCTGGAAGGGGGCCAACGAGGGCCCAGGAGAAGGTGTCTGTGTGAGTGTGGACCATGTTGAATATGGTGACGTTTCTCATTTGCTTGACATATCCCAGTTCCGACATCTAGATGGAACTGCGTTTCCAATGTAATTGGGAATTGGTAAAGAAGATGCGGCCAGCTCCCAAACTCCCTCCTTTTTCTGGTTCCCCTAGTCTGTTTTTGTTCCCTTCGAGATTTGATGACGGTGGTGGTGGTGGTGATGTGGTGTTGTTGGTGGTGGTGGTGGTCGTCGTTTACTGCTTCGCCATGTGGATGCCCAGCTGGCGCGCGTGCTGGGCCATGACGGCGTCGGCAATGGCCAGGGCGGCCATGCCCTCGACAATGGGGACGGCGCGGGGCACGACGCAGGGGTCGTGGCGGCCCTTTGCGGCGAGGACGCCCTCGCCCGAGGCGTCGTAGCGGGCGGTGGTCTGGTCCTGGCTGATGGTGGCGGGGGGCTTGAAGGCGACGCGGAAGAAGATGGGCATGCCGTTGGAGATGCCGCCCTGGATGCCGCCCGAATTGTTCGTCTTGGTCTGCAGGCGGCTGCGGGGGATGCCCATCTTGGCCTCGGCGGCGGGGACGGCAGGCGCGGCGACGAAGGGGTCGTTGTGGCGGCTGCCCGTCATCTCGGCGCCGCGGAAGCCGGAGCCGATCTCGAAGCCCTTGACGGCGGGGATGCTCATCATGGCGTGGGCGAGGACCGCCTCGAGCTTGTCGAAGCACGGCTCGCCGAGCCCGGACGGCGCGTTGCGGATCACGCAGGTGACGGTGCCGCCGGTGCTGTCGTGCGCGTCGCGCAGCTCGGCGATGCGCTCCTCCATGCGGCGCGACGTCTCCTCGTGGGGGCAGCGCACGGGCAGGAACCCGTCAACCTGCTCGCGCGTGATGCCCTCTGCGAGGCTCAGGAACGCGGGATCCGCGCTCATAGACTCGCCATTATCCTCAAAGAGCTTGATGCCGCCGACAGACGTGACGAAGGCGACGATCTCAACGCCGTACGCGGCGCGGAGCCACTTATCCGCGACGGCTCCGGCGGCGACACGGGCGATGGTCTCACGGGCGCTGGAGCGGCCGCCACCCGACGAGGCCTTGACGCCGTACTTCTCGAGGTAGGTCCAGTCGGCGTGGGAGGGGCGGGGGAAGACGTCGACGGTGGCGTCGCCGTAGTCGCGCGGGCGCTGGTCCTCGTTGGGGACGGTGAGGAGGATCGGGGTGCCGAGGGTGCGGCCGAACTCGGTGCCCGAGTGGATGGTGACGCGGTCCTTTTCGTTGCGCGGCGTCGTGATGGACGACTGGCCCGGCCGGCGGCGGTTGAGCTGCGGCTGGATGTCCTCCTCGGTGAGGGGCAGGTTGGGCGGGCAGTTGTCGATGATGCACGACACGGACTTGCCGTGCGACTCGCCGGCGCTGTTTACAGACAAGAAACCTCAGTCAGCGAACGGACACAACGCTGATTCGGGACGAGAGGGGGCCGGCGTACGTCGTCACCCGGAAGTGGTGCCCAAACGTCGACATGTTGTAGGCGAGCGGATGGACGGTGGTGGGACTGTACTGGGGGAGCTCGAGGAGCGATGGTTGTGATGGTTCGATGTTGAGAAAAAGTGAGGCCCTACGGAGCTTGTGCTGCCGTTTGGTGGGCTGGCGCTGGGCTCCAGTGACTGATGTAATCCGATTTCGGGGCAGCGAATTGGTCCCCTCGAATTTTCCCAATGCTTTTTATGGCGGGGGAGGGGCAACTGCAGTACGTAGTAAGGTACGTAGTAACAACAGCAGCAGTGACCACAAGAGAGCAGATTTAGCAGCGACAAAATCACCAAATGATGCAAAGGGACCATGGTCAAAAATATATGCAATTGTTCTCAATCGTATGGACACCCTCTGACTCACATGTGCATCCGTCACAATGTCCATTGTCGGCCCCAATTGATGTCATGCTATTGACCTGGACATACGCCATCCCAGCGTGCATGCCCGCCTGGGTAAACGTTTATCCCGCGTCCTCCTTCCTGTCCCCAAACGGCAAGGTCAAGGCAGGACAGGGGATCCAAATCGGTACGTACCCGCAACGGCATGGACCCGCTGTTCAAGCTCGAGTGAGAGCTTCACTCCGCCTCCTGCCCGTCCTCAACTCAATCCCCAGAAGCCACCTCATCGACGTCGCGCCCCGTCGCCCCGACACCCCTGCAGTATGCACTGCAGGTGACGCACGAGCTCAATTGACCTCAACCCAGCATACAGCACGCTCCAATGCGTTGTCTGGCCCGCCATGGACGACCCATAGCGAGGTCCCTTTCCTCACTCACGCCCGCCTCACCCACGGCCTTCGGCTTCATCCGACACAGCTTCTCCACCGAAGCAGCCTCTCACCCCTCCAACAAAACCCAAGTCTACATCTCCAAGTCCCGCGACCCGCTCCTCAACCTCTCCGTCGAGCACCACCTGCTGCAGATCACGCCCGCCGAGTCCACCGTCCTCATCCTCTACGTCAACTCTCCCAGCGTCATCTTTGGACGGAACCAGAACCCCTGGCTCGAGGCCAACCTCCCGCGTCTAGCCCAGATCGCGACTGAACCTGGGGCACTGGGCTGGACCGATGGTCCGGTTCAGCTGGTTCGCAGGCGCTCTGGCGGAGGCACCGTGTTCCACGATGCCGGCAATGTGAACTTCAGTGTCATATGTCCGCCCGCCGCGTTTGACCGCGACAAGCACGCCAAGATGGTCGTCCGGGCACTCAAGTCTTTGGGTCGGCCCATGACGCGCGTGAATCAGCGTCACGACATTGTCATGGACGTCGGCGGGTCACGGTCTCGGACAACCGCTACCACCGCCTCAAGTACCTTCAAGGTATCCGGCTCAGCATACAAGCTCACACGTCTGCGGTCGCTGCACCACGGGACGTGCCTCCTGCGCAGTCCAAACCTTTCCGGCATCTCGGGCATGCTGCGCTCCCCGGCGGAGCCCTTCATCAAGGCGCGCGGGGTCGACAGCGTGCGCAGCCCTGTACGCAATCTGGACCTCGACAACGCAGATTTCGAGGACGCTGTAGTGGAGCAGTTCCGTCAGATGTACGGCGACTTTGACGTCCGGGCAGAGTTTGGCAGCGATGCGTTGGCCGTAGACAAGATCAAAGCGGGATACGAGGAGCTGGGTTCACGAAGCTGGACGTATGGGCAGACGCCGCGGTTCACGTTCTGCACTCATCCGTTCGAGGACGATCCCAGGGCGAGGCCAGACTTGCCCTTTGACGTGAGCATTAACCCCAAGCGTGTGCACTCTACTGTCAATGCTGACTCGCAGCAGCTCAAGATTCACTTCGAGGCCAGACACGGCTTGATCGAGCAGTTCAGCATCGAGGGTGACGAGGGTGCAGACACGGAATCGCTGATAAAGTCATCACTGCACGACGTCGGTGACTGGACTGAAAGACTAACGCAGGTTGGCCTGAGCCGGTGGGACGCCGCAGACGTTGGATCTTGGTTGAACGGCGTTCTGGGGACGTCATTCACGAAGCTGTAGTCGAGCGCCCTACGTGTATTAGATAGGGGTTGCCCAGTTGGCCCCCATGTACAAAGCCACTCATCACGTGTACATTGCTCGGGTTAGGTAAAGGCCGGCATTGAATTCATTCACCAGTGAGGCCGCGGTTGGCAGCCGACAGTATCAAAGCACCATTCGAGGCGCCGAACGACTTCTGAAGCCTTTCCAGGTCCCCACAAGCGACTTTGCAAAGCCAAAGCCCCAACACGCACCCCGCACCTTGCATTTGATCCCAATAGCGCGCTTAATTTGTAGGTAAACAAGGCGGGCGTTGCGCGCGAGACCAAGACTAGTAGGCAGTTTTCAAGTTCTGTACTCGAGCCTGAAGGGTTGAGTCTCGGCCACGTCCCAGTTTTCCAACTTCGACTCGTCGGTAAAGAGGCGTAGAGCACGGAACACAAACTTGTACTTTCCAGCCGGCGCGTATTGTCCATTATTGAGCGCGCCGTCCCAGAGTCCCCTGATCCTGCCACGGGGATTCCAGCGTAGAGGGAAGGAAGGATGCTGGCCGACCGTTTTGTATTTGCCACCAAGCGGGTCATCGACAGTCAGGTTCTTAGGTGGACAGGTCGTCATCGGTACGATGTCTGCTCTCACGATCCGCGAGCCCATGGCGAGGTTGTAGTAGATCATGGGGAGAAGGTCGTCATTGGTTGCTGTGCCCGGAGGTGGCAGCGTGAACGTGTAGTTAGCAGGGGCTGGGTCGGGGGTCGGATAGAGGCCCCGGTTGGATTCATTAGACCACGACATCCAGGCCTGGTCGGGCAGCAGGACGGTTGTGCTCTTGAGCGACCCTGACACTCCTTGGTAGGGTAGAGATAGAGACGTCCCGTCCGTGCCGTTGATGACGACATAACCAGACCATACAGCAAGACGCTTTGAGTCTACGTTCGCCGGCGGCTGGGCCGATACACTGAGGATCTTGCGGTTCCCGGGCTTCAGGCTGACAGTGACATCAGAAAGATCCAGAGAGGCGTGGTCCTCGACGAGGTCGGGAGGGAAGTCTTGAGGCCAGGCACTGCCCTTCTGAAGGGTGTAAGCCGTGAGAGCCGGGACGTGAGTGACGTTATAGGTCACTTCACTACTGCCCTTGTTTGTAATGACAAATTCAAGCTTCTTCATAAGGTTGTCTGTATCGTTGAAGGAGAGGCTCGAGGGATCTAGCAGAGTGGTGGCGTAGGCGGCATCGTACGCCTGGATCAAGCCACCGCCCTGTTGCGGGACCGGGGCTAACTTGTCGGCGAAGCTAGAAGCGGCGTTCCAGAGCTGTGGGTTCGCCGTGGCCGAGACTAGATTCTCTAGGACCTTGGGGGCTGTTGGCCCGCGAACCTGTAAGATGAGGGCCATGATCGCCGCCGCCAGAGGGGTCGCCATTGAGGTGCCGGACGCGATATTATAGCCGCCGACCCAGGTCGAAAAGATGGCGCCTCCTACCGAACCGACTTGCGGCTTGGCATCTACATCCCAGCTGGGGCCCCACGAGGTAAAGCCGCTTAGAGCACCACCCCGGTCAGGTCGTTCATCGAAAGCGACACAAACGTCTTTCTTATTGGGATATTTCATCGAAACTGTGATATTGTGGCCGGCCTTGACGAGGTTGATCCATCTCCGGCCCGTACCCGCTGTGACAAGGGCAGCAGCAGTGGCGTTAGAGCCTGTAATAAGCGGATCGAGGAGGCGTTTCTCAACGTCGTGGTCGTAGAAGAGAATGTATTTAGCACCCCTAGCCACGGCATTGGTGGCCTTGACCGAGAATAAGCAGGTACCACGGCGAATGAGCACGACATACGGGCTCAGGTCCGGCACGCTCTCTGGGAAGGGATCACACCCATCCGCCTCGACCGTGGGATCTAAAGTGAGGACGTAGAGAGGCAGCGGCGTGATCGGAACGGGCCAGTTATATAGATCCGTGGGTCCATTGGCAAAGAGCTTCTCCGGGCCGCCGTCGACGGAGTAGTGGGAGCTGAATCCAAAAACGGGCATCTGGTCGCTCTCATACGACCCAATAGCTGTGACGCCCTTGCCGTCAGCGGCCGAGGAGGCGTCGAAAAGGGCGCGAGCACCGTCGTTGCCCGCAGCCAGTGTGCATACCACGCCGTGTTCGACGAGGCGAGAGACGGCGACACTCCAGGCTGTCTCGGACCAGCCAACAGGACCGCCGATGGAGGCAGTGATAACATCGGCGCCATCCTCGAAGGCCATATTGAATGCAGCAATAAGAACATCGTCTGATGCACCACTCGCTAAGCACCCGAAGACGCGGTACATACCGAGCGTGACATCGGGCGCGGCACCGGTAAAATGGTAGTCCTCGTCAATTGCAGCAACAATGCCAGCAACGTGCGTACCGTGGCCAGCGCAGTCCATGGGATCCTTGTCGGGTACGGGGACATTTGCGCCCGTATAATCGTCACCCACCAAGTCATAGCCGAACGATACGCGGCAGCCATCTCCGAAGCATCCACCTAAAGCCTTGAGAGTATAGTCAATCTGCAAACAGATAGTTAGTAACGTATTTCTTCCCCCTAAACGCAGGTACACGGTACATTGCAAGAGATAACGTACACCGGTGTCAACGATAGCCACCTTGATTCCCTTTCCAGTGATGCCCTTAGCTCGAAGCTTGTCGACCTGGGTCATGATATGTGGCGGCCAGACATCAGTCTCATTCATAATGTTTCGTTTTTGAAGCTGCGAATGGTCGCCATCCTTGATGTTCCAGTCATTTGCGGTGAGAACTTTGCCATCGGCAACCTTTGGGAGATCGTGAATCTCAATGGGCCAGACGTTCTTGATGCTCGGCGCAGAAGCAAGCCGGGCGACGGTATCCTTTTCCTTCTTGAGATCGTGGAGTTGCACCGAGACCCCCTTGAAGTGTTTGAAGTTGAGCTTCATTCGCGTCGTACCATGGCTGCCCACTTGTTGGATCACAGCTCCGGTATCCTTAGCAGTCAGTATGATGTTGCCTCTTCACTTTCGAGCATGGCGTTTTAGGGGAGGGGGATTTACATGGCCATCCTCCACCTCAAAGATGTAGCCGCCGGGGAGGAACCGTCTCTCAGACAGCGCAGTCGATACCACTGCTAGGAGTGACGTCAAGATCGACGTGCGCACCATGTTGGCTGTTCTCCCGGAGCGCGAAGGGCTCCCAGAAATAAGCGACTTAGGTGAGGTAGCGAGCGGTCGTGGGGGCAATCCTGAACCTTCCTACAGCCTCCCTCGTGGGGAGCCGGACACTTATAGACATGAATCTCGTCTCGCTTTCTGACTTCGGCTATCGCGTCGACGAGGAAAGCACCGCGCCGCCGAGCGGGGGAAATGTCTGCATGTGGCCGTCTATCGAGTTCCAGCTTCGCTGACTGAGTGGGGTTTGGCGTTGGGGCAGGTTGATGTTGGTTGTCTCTGAGTCGATTTCAGCCATCGTGGCCACGCTCGAGGCTGGGGGTGAAGCAATCCTCGCGCTTTTCCGCAAGATGGAATTTACTGTGCTATACCGTACTGTACAGCACTGCGTCATACTGAGTGTGGGGTATTCGGACACAGAACAATTGATGAGGCAAAAGTGCTTACACCTGGTGGTGCGGGCACACAGGCATTTGAGAAAAGGCGGTCATCCCGGTGCGGCAATGTCATGATCTTGATGCAGGCCCTTTTGTGGCGTGCCCAGCCGCGACTTCAAAGCCGTTGGGCATTGGGCACTTTGTGGCCAACACAGCGGAGAGCCCCTGGCGGACAACCTGTATGTCATCCACTGCACCGTGCATCACAGGTGCTTGTGCTCTGAGCAGTTCGAAGACAGGACCTTGAGAAGGTCACGGTGATCCGGGAAGTAAGCTCTGAACATGACGAAACTGATGGGCTGGGATGAAGTACAGTAATGCCCATAACCGAAGCAGAGAATTTCTCCGAGGAGCATAGATGGTCGCGAGTGCCTTGGTGTTTCTACAATTCGCTCGCGGGATCTTGTTGAATGTTGCGCCAGTTGGTCTGGCTCCAGTCTCATGTGGGTGCAGCATGCAGACAACAATTCACATAGCCTGTCCAGAGTTGATGTCCGGGGGTCATGCACGCCACCAGAGGGGTCTCGGACAAGACAAGAACGCCGAGCAGTGTTGGTCAGGAGTTCCTCATGGATTTCACGTTTCTGCACAAACCCAGCTTCTCCATACGGAGTGCCAGCGGGAACTATTTTCGCCCGTTGGTTCTGCGAGAGGCTACCCCACGGGGCACGGACAGAGGAGTGTGCATACAAGAGCACTTGGCATGCTTGGATGATTCGTCATGTGTTCAATGTTGGGTACCTGGCACGACACGCAACGGCTCGCGCCGCAAAAGTTCTCTAGACAAGCGAGTACTATCCATGTCAGCGACATTCGGGCTTTGTCAAAATCGTACGATTTCGTTATGCATATGTCTCCGGCGGCGAGTTTGATGCCCATCAACGTTCAACAGTCAATAGAGTACAGTACAGTAGGTGTTCAGCACCATCCACGCCTCCGACAGGCTTGCAGATGCAATGGTGCTTACTCCGCACACTGTAGCTTGCAAGGTTAAACTACAGTACTGTACAGTAATCGAAAGTCTATACGCATGCAGGTCTTCGGAGACACGCGAGTCTTTACTCATGTCGCGAGACAGGGCTCCCGCCACTTGCGTGTATTTCCCGACCCCGGCTGTTGTCGTGGGGGACTTGCCGGCCACGGGATGTACAGTCGGGTCAAGCAACGCGCCACTCGCAACATTGAATGAAGCCGGAGGTGCAAGTGCGCCATCCCGGGGTCTAGAATGCAAGAACACGTCTCTTTTTGTTTCACTCGCGATTGCCCCACGCGCAAAGGGTCAATTGAGGCTGTGGGACTGAGAGCAGTTGATACGTGGTGACTGTGGTCACCTTGACTGCTCAGGCCCGTAATTGGCCTTCATTCTGGTCGGCAATGCAGCATTCACTCAATCTTCACGGGGGTGCCCAAGGCTTGACTGGCAGAGGATGCGTAATGTTACTCAAGTATTGGAGGCGATGAGTACAGCGCTTCATGATCCTTGCAATACTTTCGTCACGGCGATGTATGGCCTCATGGCTGCTTCACTCCGGAGATTGGATTCAACCTACTTTACCGCAATTGTAGCAACTGATGGAGTATAGAGGAAGACAAGAGGTGCGAGGCGGGATGTAGACCGACGCTTCGGACTCTAGTAGCGCCCGAGCAGGCCAGTCTCACACCACCAGCCAAGTTCGAGAATTAGTAGTCCCGCGTTCACAAGAGCCTGCTGAGAACCGAACTGATACTGGGTCTGCAGATCGTCCTTTGTAAGACCAAACATGGCCAGGCAATCCTCCTCGGTGAGACTGAACGTCGGTAGGCACATGCAGTATATGCTGAACATGAGGGCCTCAAGAGACGGACCATTGCTCGTAAGGCTCCTCGCCGCTGCCTCGAAACGCCGTTGCAGGCTTGGATTGTGCGTGACTTTGAAGAGCGGATCGAAATTTTCAAGGTACACTTGCCAGAGCCTAAAGATGTCGACCGGGTGAAGCGTCGAGAGGTTGATGAGGGTTGATGGTTTCCGAACAAGAGATCGTCGTCGTGACATAGTTTGTCTAACGCACTTCTAACCGTGCTTTGCAGCATGCTGGCGACAGAGGCCTCTTTGTCGGTTACTGGCTCTGATGGCGACGCGTTAGAGGCAGGTCTTTACGAGTACAAGATGAAAGATCTCACTCCTTAGGTCATGGCTTGCCAGATGCTTCTAATCAGTGTTAGCGGAGCTGTCAGAGCCGGGATGGCACCTGTATTTGGAACTGTAAAGGCTCGGGTAGCTCACTTTACTTTAAATGCGCCCTCCGGCTTTACCGACGGCGACGGGCAAGACCCATCAGCAGTGCTAGAGCGTGGCATGTCGGCATCTGAGCCGTCGTCGCATTTCACCTTGCGTTGCTGGCACAGCACACATGACAACACGCGCTGTCCTTTCGGTAACGGAGGGTGAAGCTATGAAGGGTATGAGGCCATTGATGATGAAGGCGGATTTTGGCCATCGGCCGAGCATGACTCCGACATCGTTACGGGAACATGGGGCGCGGACAGGTTGACTCTACGTGATGTCCTAATCGACGAGGTAAGGCGGGAAGCGCACTGCAGTCGATGTCGTCAGCACTGGAAAGGCCGTCGCTTCCCTCATCACGCTAGCCGCTCTGGATATGAACAGTGAAACATCAGGCCGCACTGCGATCCTTCGAGGCATTAAGCAACTAGAATTATCGGCAGAATCCGATTTTCTTTGTAGTTCTACATACTTCGTATATGGTATCTAGTCTATGTCTATGTGCACAACTGTACATATGGAAATGATTGCCCCCCAGCCTTATAGCTCCAGTCCTATTCGTGTATGCCCTATAACCCTCAAAACCTCATTGCAAACGTGGTGTGGTCACTCAGCCCACACGCATTTCCTTCATGTTGGCAGGCGGAATGGCAGCCAGAGAGTAGTGCCGATACTTGTCGGCAGTGACAAATCGGACCTTTCGCCCCCAGTAGAGCAAAACGACGGGGATTCCGAGAACCAGCGGGGAGATGGCTGTGCCCAGAATGAAGACGTTTTGCAACCCCATGCTATCTATCCATGGAATTATCCCGATTGAGGCGACTGCGCCAAGCGCGTTGCGCGCAACAGCAACTCCAACGAATGCGTCGCCTATCATCTGCGCATGGTGTTAGCCAAAGACTGTCACAGCTATCGTGTTGCTCTTGAATGCCACGCACGTTGTGATAGCAGTCGGTGAGATACGCGACTGCAACGGACAGACATATGCTGAAGCCGAAGGCGAACATTGCGAAGCCGATGGTTGGCCACATGCAGGGGATCCCCTATTGACAGGAACGCTATTAGCGGTTGCTCACGTAGACAAATCAAGTATTACTTACCTGGGCGATGCCAATGCCGAACAGGAGCATTCCTCCGCACACGAAAAGGGCAGCAGGTAGAGTGATCCAGAGGCGCATCTCCGGGTGATATATACCGCCATTCTTATGGGCGAGTCGGACAATCCAGCGGTCGCTAAGTGGTGCCACCACCAGGCAGCCCAAAAGATGGCCCAGGAATGGAGCCAAGTTGAACAATCCAACCTCTTGAGGACTGTAATTGTACGGGAGGCTATCCAGCCTCGTCAGCATGATGTACTGCATCATCTCCAGCCATGCCATCGTCCCGCCGTACGTCAGTGCCGTGTATGCAACGGCGGGGAAGCTGATGAGAATGACGAAGGGTGCCAGGAATCGCTCCTTGATCGGTCTTTGGGTGTTGGTAATCAGGGCGAATCGCTCCCTCAATGACTTCGGCTCGGGAGGCAAGTCGAGGCTTGGTTCGGGCGCGCGGGGCGGGGCTCGGGGCGTCATCAGGCGGTTCATGTCGACAATATCCATTGGCTCATCATCCTTCGTGAACAGGATGTATGGCCTGTTGTAGAACGACTCGGGTTCTTTCGCTTTGGTCTTGATGTCTGAGTGACCTCTGGTGTTGGGAACGAACGTGGACTCCTCCAGCAGGAAAAGCACCACGACAAAGTTGACTGCCAAGGCGATCGCGTTCCCCCATCTCATCCATCTCCAGCCCTTGAGGTCCACCAAGAACCCGGCAATCGTGGGGCCGAGGAAGGCGCCGATGCTCTGCGCGAACATGAACAGACCGCTCATGGTCGCGAATTGGTGCACAAAGAACAGATCTGCAATCGTCATCGGCACGATGGTCATGGCGACGGACGCCCCAACGCCCACAAGTGTATCGGTGACCAGATTCCCTGCTTTGTCCGATATGACGGCGGACCCCACAGCCGACGCAAACTGGATTGCCACGCTGAGCAGGAAGATAGGCCGTCGACCGTAGCGATAGGCGAGCGGGATAAGGCCGATGCCGGTGAGACCGAGTCCTGCGTATTCAAGAGTGCCGACTATGGACATGTCCCCGTCACTCAGCTTCAGGTCTTGTTGGAGCTCCGGCCAGGCGCCATGGTCGACACTCAGGGCTGAGAATGTGACCATTACGTAGAAAAGAACGACTGAGTAGTGCAAGGCTTTCCGCCAGCACGACCAATTCTGATCGATTCCCGGTCAGCCACGAACCAAACCGCCCAACGACGTGCGTAATCGGCGAAACGTACCAGCGGGTCATCGTAGTCGTCTGTCGGTTTCGGGTGGAAGATGATCTTGATGGTCGAGTCTACAAGAGCACTGAGTTAGCTTCCAGGGCCGAAAGTCCGTCCTCGAGACCGGAGCTCTGCTATCTCACCTCTTGTCGCCGTTAGCCGGACAGTGCCGGGAGGCATCTGCTCAGCCATGCTGCTGGTCAATACCGCACATCAAGGTAGGGATCTCCTTCTTTTCTCCTCAGAGGAATGTGAGTGACAGAAGTCGAATCTTTAGATTCGTCGGATCCTCCCTCGGCGAAATGGGGCGGGTTTAATGTTATTGCTTGGCAGGCTCCGGTGGGAGGTGGCCCTGGTTTATGCGATCGTGCCACCGCCTGGCGCCGTGTGCTGAACAGGTACCGGTGGCATGGCGCAGCTCGTTAATATAGACCCATTAAATTGATGCTTGTGCCGGCACCTCAGGCTGTGCTACCGGTTCTGGACCACCGGGCCCAGTGCCTTGAAGCCTGAAGGACTCCGTGAGGCATTAGACTTTCCTCCCGTAACGGGGAGTCCCTGGGTTGTTTCACTGCCGGCCGGGGGGTCGATCTCCGACATGCACCTGTGAAGGGACTCCCGACACAGATCCACCGAGACTGGGGCCGAGGGAGCGAACCGCTAGGCTTGTTGCGGTAAATCTCTGGCCACTTTCAGGGGGCTTTCAGTGGGATGCCCCAAGTGCCGAGCGGCAAAACCCATGGGCACGGTCTAGACAACTCGTGGTGGCATCATTCCTACGAGGTAGGTGATTGGATCCGCAAACCCTTTCAAGGCGACAAGGAGAGCAAATGATTTGCGATTTGTCTTCTCGGACTGGCTGTCGCAGGGGAGACGGAAGGCCACAATCCTCTATGCTCACTCGACTCAACCTCCGGCGTTCATCGCACGGTCGGCACTTACTGCCATCACCAGGGATCATGGAGCCGCTCTCCGCTACGGTACTCGTAACACTTGCCCGAAACGCGCCCGCATGCCACTCACGGGTATTAAATAAACCAGCGATTAACTGGGCTTGGCACAAGTACAACGTTCCATCGGATTGAGCCACTCCCCGGAGATGTAGCGCACACACACGCGCGTTGGGATTGACCCACGATGTCGTGCCGCAGTCCAGGATGGGGCTGTTGAAGTTGCTCACCTCACCGTCGAGCCCCGCCCCCGATCAGCAAATTCATGCGAGCAATATGATCGCGGACACCAAGCAACTACCAATCGTTGAGCTCTTCGTGCCCACTGCACCAAGACCGTAGTGGGCATTCAACCACGTGTACCTGGAACCGCCCCCCGTGGCACAGGAGGTTTTTTATTTTTTAAAGTTTACCTCTGAAACTCTATACAACACCACTGATGCATCCCGTCAGCCTTGCTCGGCTTAGAGCAAATTGGCCAGACACGAGCCCAACAAAGCCCCCAGCCCAGCCCCTTTACTGAGCACCGGTACTGCGGACTGACAGACCGCTGCTCGTTGAGCCTTCTGTGGGGGCAAGAACTGGGCGATGTAATTGCGGCATCGCGATGTATGTCGGCCATCCCGTCCGAGGGGTTGTACTTCCAACCCTCCAGCCAAATCTGAGACGTGCTTCAGCCTAGTGATTATTGGCGCTCTTCCGAATCTGGACGTGACATCATGATACAGGGCCGCCCACTACAGCCAAGCACTGAACTTATCAAGCGGACGGCCTGGACGTCACATTTCAGTCGCATCAAGACGAACTGGTCGTATCGGTGCATTGAACTGCCGAACCCCCTCACCCCAGTCACGAATCCTTAGGCAGCTCATCTTTAGGCGGCCACATAGTGACGGCGCGACAATGAAACAGAGCGGCCATGTCCCGGCAGAGGTTTGATCTTCTGTCAAAGTTCGTCACCGCGAATCATATCCTCGCCAATCACGGCATTGTCGATGGCTTTGGTCATGTCTCGGTCCGCGACCCGGATCGCCCGGATACTTTCCTCATGACCGGATCAAAGCCCCCTGCCTTGGTCAAGACAGCCGGCGACATCGACACCTTCCTCGTGGAAGACGCACAGCCTCTGGCGGGTGAGCACGGTCCGCCTCTGTCGCCCTTCTCCGAGCGCTTCATCCACTCGGAAATCTACCAGATGTACCCGGCAGTCCAAAGCATCGTTCACTCTCACTCCCCGGTAATGGTCGCCCGTGCCAACTCGGGGCAGCCTCTCCGGCCGGTGTGGCACATGGCCGGGTTCCTGGGGCCGGTCGTGCCCGTCTTTGACACGCGCGGGTTCTACCGCGAGGGTGAGAAGCAGCTCACCTTGGTGAATAGTCACGATCTCGGCCGCGCGCTGGCATCTACGCTCGCAGACGGTTCCACCTCCGACACGGCACCACATAGGCACGGCCTGCCGCCACACACTACGGTCTTGCAGCGCGGACATGGGTTCGTCACATGGGGCACGTCGATAGAGCAGGCCGCGTACCGCGCAGTTTATGCACAAAAGAATGCCGAGATACAACAGCAAGCCGAGGAGTTGGCGAGCGCGTCAAGCGGCACAGCGCGGTGCGAGTACCTCGGCGAGGCCGAATGTCGGGACTGCGCGGCAATGGACGACGTGTGTTGGGTCAAGTCATGGCCGCTATGGGTTGCTCAAGTGCGGTCCGATCCGCTGTACGAGAATAACGTTCAGGACGACTCGAGACGACCGTGAGGATGGCCGTGCGCGCGACGGCTGTGCCTCAAGAAAGGAGGTGTCAGCCCTGGCATAGGGTCGGCAGATGTCCCATTCGCGGAAGAAGTCGCGTCGTTCCTGAACTCTATTTTACTCTGCCGCATTGCCTGTCAGGGGTACATGGCAAGTCTTCGCGCATAAATGCGTTCATCTTGCGACAGGGTGCTGTCACAGGTTGCGTCGTATTCGCTGGCCGCTCTCAACTGAGCCTAATGGAGCATTTGCCGCGAGTCTCCGGACAGGGACCTCTCGGCAGTCTGCCATGACAACGGCAAATTGACAGGTGCGCTACGAGAATAGGTATCAGGTAGCTCTACGGAAGCGCCGCTGCCGAACTGCCGAGTGCACGTGTACACAAACTCCTTCTTGCCGAGTCAGTGACTTTGGCCACACTCACACGACACAGGCAGCTTGATGGGCCGTAAACAAGACAGAAGATGGCCACTGTCTCTGAAGGAACCAGCATCAAAGAGGCATCAGAACATGCGAGATAACTCTGGCCGAGGACAGCAGGCTATATCTTGGTAGAGATTGATGTTCGGCATTACGATAATCACCCTTGCTCATATTACGGGTTCTCTACGCTGCGGATTAATTATATGACTTTCCTGCGAAAATTGTTCCGTCGTAGTCAATGGCCTTGGTCGAGTTCGTGAGCGTGTAATTGCCAAAGCACGCATAGTCGTAGTTGCTGAGCTTGTACGCATCCTCCTGGCTCTTGAGGAACGCGCTCAACTCGCAGAGTCCATCAACCCGCCCGCTGGTAGTGTTGCCGCACAAGCCGCCACGAATCGTGTGCAGTGGCAGGATCCCATTGTTGAGGCGCATTCGAATGAACTTGTGGGATGCGTTGGCGGCGTCGTAGCCGTACTGCGTCGGAGAGTATTGAACGCGGCGGTCCCAAACGGCAGCTGGGTCGGCAGAGGAGCAGCCGATTGTCTCAGTAATAAGGTTCGCGCCGAAGGGTGTCAGGTGAGAGAGGATGAAGCGGCGGTCCGGGCGAGGCGGGAACTGTGTGAGAGGGGGCGCGTCTTTGAGGTAGTCCAGGGACATGGCCGTGAGCACCGAGATGAGAATGTCGTCGTGGGAGAAGTCCGCGTAAATCTGCTGGCCGAGAGGGAAAGACGAGGCGTTGTCGTCGAGAGTGGAGTTGACGGAAGAGTTAGACGACGTGATGTACTCGTGCGTAAGGCGAGCGATGAGCTCTTGGAGGTACCCAATGCCTTGAGCCCGCCCGGTCGGGTTACCGTAGCTATACAGGTAGTAGTCTTTCAGCTTGTCAGCAACGCTCACTTGAACTCCATCATTATGCGACTCGCGGACGATACATACACTGAATGTCCAAGACAGTCTCGAAGCCCTCCCACTCGTCCTCGGAGAACAAGTGGCAAAAGTCGGACATGCCAATGAATGCGTACTCGTACGCACACATCATCTGCATTGCATACGCGTCCTGGTACGTGAACTCGAAGCCGGATGGAGCGTCTGCTTGAAGCCGGTGCACAGCCGAGCGGAGATAATTCTTCTTGTAGGCATCCTGGTGGCGGGCGGCAATGTCGCCATTCGCATCCGAGTTGTCGTTGAAGCAACTGTCGTATGAAGCGAGCGTGTTATTCTCCGTTCCGCCTTCGGGGATGATGACCACCTTGAAGGGGCTCGTCCATTCTGTCAGCGCAGGATCCGGCGTGGCGTTGAAGCTGGGCCCGAAGAACCCCAGAGCCCAGTTGATCTGGCTATTCTCGATACGGGACTGTCCCGTAGTACGAAGGGTGACGCGAGGGCGCGTGGAGCCATTGCTGGCAAAGACGGGGTTGTATTGCAACTGCGCGGCGGACGCATTGTAGAGAGTCCTCCCGTAGCGGTTCCAGAACGAAACGCCGGCCGAGACCTCGGTGGCTGCCCCCACGCCGGTAAGAAGACCGGTGTCGTTCAGAATATACGTGTAAGAATTTAGAAACTTGAGCGGGCCGCTGAAGCCACCGCGCGATTCCCGGCTGTGGGCACTCGTATGGTTGGCCACCTTCTGAGCGAATCCGCCGGTGACCTTGCCATCGACACTATCGGGGAATCGCTGGGCGTGGCGCTGAAGGGTGCTGACAGACTCCTGCCTCTCGAGTCAGTCGACGGGATCACTAGACCGTGCCTTCGACGTTCATTTTAGGGGAAGACGCACCACCTGGCACCCGTCAGGCAAGCCAACCGACTTCACGCCAAAGGCATCCTCGGCGTTGTCGGCGTAGACCGAGAGCTCTCCCCAAGATCTGTAAATGCTAGGGATGTCGGAGATTATGCGTGACGCCACAGAGGCGCCCGAGAAGCCAACGACGGCAGCTGCCACAGCTAATTGTGGAAAATGCATCGTGCGGACATGAGCACAGTACGGCGTAGATCTGTCTTGGAAATACTCTCGCGCGGCGCGAGGATTGACGGGCCACTGGTCCTTATCTGTCGACTGTCTTCTGCCGTGCCGAAACCTGTCGCCGCGACTTCATCTAATGTAACATGGCTATTTCGGATATCCGGCAGTGACACATGCGCAGTAGTGCGAAAAACAGACCATTGCGCCCTGCCAGATTGGGCGCCTAGCGGGGGATCAATTCGCGCATTCTCTGGCCCTCAAGTGCCCGTACGAGGCCCTGACGTCGATCTGGGCGGTCGCAAAAGGTCTGTGGCTGGTGGGTGGGTTGATTGCCGTACGCGATGACGGAAACAGGAGCAAGGTGTTGTTGGCTGGCCGCGGCCTGTGCCGAGATGCCGGCGGAGCAGCGAATTCCTTCATCGCGGCGGGAACGTGGTCAAAACAGTGGCTGAGCATGAGTCGGCCCGGGCCGACATATTGGCTTGATCTCACGCGTCTGGGCATGAATCGGGTGACCGAGTGAATCTCTCGATGGTATTCTTGCTTACATCCAACAGATGGTTGTTCCCCTGGTGTGCTGGTCTGACATTGTATGACATGTATCACTGTATGTCACAGTGTATGACCTCGGACCTAACACAATCCATTGGGAGAACCAAGGCCTTGGCACATCGGCACTCACTTGTTCTGGTCGTTCAACATGAATGCTCTGCTCGCTCCATGAGTCCATGACGTCTGGGCTTCGTCCAAAGTGCCGCAAAATGTGGCCCGTCCAAAAGGCATGATTGGGAATACGTATCTGCGCGACTGAATTCTTTCTTGTTTGGACTAGGCAATATACCTTCGATACATCATACCGCTCATATAATAAAGCCACCTTGCGGCACATTTCTCCAGCTTTGGCCTATCTGGCTTTTCGTGCCTGGCCAATGTCTCATCTGCAGTGGCGCCGCCAAAGGCTCTACCTGCATACATGTAACCTTTCACGGTGCAGCCATTTTGCAGACAAGCACATCTAGATCAATGAAGCCGTGCAAGTGGGTACCCTTTCTTATTCCCCCGGCTTGTACACACCGTACCACTTGCACTCAGTAAGTCGCTTGCAGGAGACCTACGCGGCCACCATCCGTCAAGAGCTGGTTGCCGTCGAGGTAAGCCCCGGCGGGACTGACAAGGAAGAGCACCGCGCCCGCCAGATCCTCCTCCGCACCGCATCGCATCAGCGGCACCATCTCCTTGGTCATGCCACCTTCGACTCGCGGGTCGCCCAGCGCGCTCATAAATGGCATGTCGTTGGTCATGTCGCTGGGGTAGAACCCAGGCGCAATCGTGTTAACGCGGATGGTCCAGGTCGAGAGCAGCGTGGCCAGCTGCTTGGACATGTGTGTTACAGCAGCCTTGCTCGTGCCGTACGCGAACCCGCCCATCGGCTTCCGAATGTATCCTCCCGCTGATGAAGTCAAGATGACTTGCGACTTTTGTGGAACGACCTTGCGGTTATTGCCCTCGCTGAGGAGGGTAAGGAAGGCGACCACTGAGTAGAAGGCGCCCGTGACGTTGACGTGGTATGTGTGATTGAACTCGTCCATGTCCGGTCTCCAGAGCCGCTCCTGCAGCGCCTCGATTGACAGGCTGTCAACGTCATGTGCGGGAACGAGGGCAGTCATGACACCACTGTTGGCGAAGAGGACATTGATGTAGCCGATCTCCTTGGTCACTTGCGCAGCGGCCGCTGTCAGGGAGTCTTTGGAGGTGACGTCGCAGACGATCGTGTGGATAACGTCAGGGTTGGTCGACGACGCCTTGGCCTCATCGAGGGCTTCCTGTCGTCGTCCGAGGATGTAGACGGCCTTGGCGCCGTTGGCCGCCATGGCATGGGCCATCATCTTCCCCAGACCTGTACCGCCACCGGTAATGACGACGACGAGGTCATTGGCGTGGAAGAGCGACTGCGCGCTGTACGTGGGGGCCATGATGATGCAGTTCCGGCTTTGCAAATGCAGATGATGTGATCTCAAGGGTAGTACTGTATCTACCTGACCAACGGGGTTGAAATGCCGCGGCTCGTCTACTTATACTTCCCGGCGCGCGACCCCCATGCCGCGGGCGTATGGCCCAAGCTTCCAATCATCGACGCTGTTGGACGCGTTTCCAGCCGTTGGACCACGTCGTCGAATCGGACTTACGAGGCATCACGGAGCTAATGGCTTCAATTCCCCGTGCGGACACGGCAAATCTCACGCGTGCTGTAATAATCACACTCTCAGTGTCAATCGTTACCCAAGTTTTAAGCATGTCCATTGGGGGCACGCACAGGGCAGGCATAGGCATGTGTGGGATGAAACGCCTCCACTCCGATTAAAGGCAGTGTTGCCTGACACTGGCTATCGCGTGGCTGCCTGTACGAGATTATGTTCCCAATGACAATGTCCTCCGTACAGCACCCCAGTTCCCGTACGCCAAAGGCAGGGTAGCCCGCCTGCAGTGTGACTCTTATTGTTGCCATTTTTCCAAGGACCGTGAGGAACATTTCCCGCATGCAAGGGAGAGCCCCGGTGATCAAGATTGTAACGGTCACATCTTGACTAACCGTACTGGCCCTGTGACTTGGATTTGATGATGGAGAGAGCAATCCAAGCGACGCAAGGGGGGTTGCAGAAGAAAGGGTAATGAAAGGCTGCTATAGACGTGATATCAGACGGGAGGCCGGCCGACTTGTCGTCAAGCAAAGCGAGCACCAAGAGGCTCATGCTGAAGGCTGAAACCAAGATATATGTCTGTGATAGAGCTCTAGACCCAATTAATATGCCGTGGAACCCTCCAGAACTTGACGAGAAGTGAATGAAGGATGCAGCTGCAACTGGCCAGACTGAAGCTGGTAATGGGAATCGGTATGCTCAGCTGAAGGGACTCCTCATCTCATTCTCCGCGACAGGCATCGCAGAGAAACGTAAACCGAAGTCACCCTTTTGCACTAGATGTACCGTTTCGGTAACTATGCCTGTCACAAGAAGCCCTGGCTACAGCTGATACGGTACGATACGACGTGCTGTCCGTTGGGAAGACAGAAACCGTGTGCACACGGAGTGTCAGGCGAGCATGCCGCGGCTACGGACGTGAAGCCTCTCATATGTATTGTGATAGGCCGCTCGCCACAGAGCTTAATCCAGAAAACAATATCCACTCCATTGCAAAGTAACATAGACACTAAAATCGCCACTTGCTGCCAGAAGGTGTGCGCCTTTACTTTGGCCTGGACGGCATATGCCACAGTTATGAGCCCGGAGAAAGAGGCTAACTCAAAGCCAATCCTGAAACTTCCACAATCTGCATTCGGTATACGCATGGGATTCGAGCCCTATTGATGTGCGGAACATTGCGCAGCGTCCGAGCCAGCCCGTCAAGCAGTCGAAGGCGGAGCAGAGCGAGCCGGGCACGTGAGCGCAGCACTTGGCATAGGAGCTGCGAGCGTTACTCAGACCGAAACCCTCGATGGGTGTGTTGCAAGAATATAGGCACAGAAATTGCCATGCCATGCCTGAAGCAAGGTGTGCACCTTCACTTTTTGCATCGGTGGCATTACGATATACTGGAGCTGCAGTAAGCATGGTTTAGAGGAAGCTTGAGGTATACCGTGGAATATCTCACGTAGAACACGAGACGCAAAAGGAACTCAGATCGGACATTGGGGGCCTTTGGCCACTCTCATTTCTTCTGGAAGCCAGAGATGACTATTCAAGATACATTACAGGGCCTCTTGCATCCATGCCCCCTTCTTTCAGTCATCAAACTGCTCCAGGCTACTACTACGCTCGAGGCTGCGGTGGCTAAACCCGAGCTACTTGGGCGCAAGGATCTTTACAGGCCTGTTGTCAAAGCAGCGTTCTATAGAGCCTTGTGATGGCTCAAAGCTGTTTCATGCAGTTTCTTGGGCCGTTCAGATGAGCTGCGCGATCCGGATGGCGTAGCTCACGATGTTCTCGAGTGGTTCATCTCCGTAGTGCGGTTGCTTTGCACAAGTATTGGACGAGGAAACACGGACAGAATTATCGCGCCGTGCCGAATGTGCTTGCCAGAAGAGACTTCTGGGTCTGGCCAGACGAGCAGAGGCGGTCTGGGGATTCTCTGGCACTAGTGGCAGGAGCATCGAGCTACCGAATGTTGGATGACGTCTGCGAGCGACAGCTCTTGGGGGCGCGGGGCTGTGCTGTGGCCAGGTCCCCAGAACAAGGGAAGTCTTTCAGCGCGGAGGCATTTGACGGCGAACTTTGTGAGGACGATGACGATTACGCACGAAAGGCTCCTAGCAACATTACCTATCTGAGGAAGAAAGGGTTGCAAGGGCAGAAAGAGGAGCTAGGACAGAAAGGACGGCAAGGACAGAAAGGGCAGAACATTGGGGAAGGAAAGGATAGACGATCAAAAGGACAACAAAACAACATTGTCACGCCATTTTGTATATTGGCCTGGACAGTATTGAACTGGGAAGCTGACCTCGGTGAAGCAAAGGGGTTTGGCTATCGAGATGAAACGTGAACGGGCCGCGTTACAGCGGCGCTGGTGCAGGCGGTGAGCCGACAACCACGACATAACAGCAGTGGCCATAATAGGAGGCTCAGCGGAACTGAGTTTCGCATGACTCGACGTGACGCAGCCAATGCAAATGTCGAGCGACGTCTCGTGGATGATTCTCTGCATCTCACTCGAGCGACGGAGAAGGGATGAGTGTGTGCCGTCGGTGAGAGAAGAGACAACAACGCTCGCTCACCTTGGCCGCCCGTGTCGTGTCCCAGGGCAAGGCCCTTGGACAACGAGTCGGTGAAGCCGAGTTGGCTGCAAGCAAAGGCAAGGGGCCCGCGTACCTTGCGTCTGCTGGCATGCGCGTCAAACACAAAATCTGGCATTGTAGGGCTGTCTCGTTCCGGGGGGGACAAAGATGAAGCCAAGGCAAGGCCGGCCAACGCACATCCACAATCTCATCTCGACTCCCAGACCGCCGAGAGGGATCGCACCAATGACATGGAGCGCCGTGCAGGTCTCACCGGGGGCCAAGATCCATTGGCCGGGGCGATCGGGCGCCGTGAGACGGCTGTTCAACCCACGTGGAGCAGCGGGAGGCCATGTCATTGGGGGCGGCCGACGAGACGTGGTCGAGATAACCTTGGTTGGAACCTTGGGGCCTCGATTGGAACCGACCGCGCGGACAGGCGAGCTCGGATGCTGGGGCGCCCTGGAATTGGCTGGAGTCGTCCATGTCATCGCTCAGCGCGGGCGCCCGGGCAGCATCTGGCTCCCGTCGTCGCTCGGTAAGCGGTGCCAGCAGTCAATGGAAAATCCAAGAAGAAGTCGACCGGTTCCCGATGCCGTCAGAGGCCAATGCATGACGTGCGCTAAAAGCACACCCCCCAAGCCCCCCCTCGGCTGCTGGCCCTAGCGCGTGCTCGGCAGCCACTAGAACCCCGCGAAGCGGCCTTGTGGCCCAGCCCAGCGCTCGCCAGTGGCAGTGACGTTGACGTGACTGCGCCTGCACGCGCCCCCTCCTTCACTTTTGCAGGCCGCCCGCCGCGGAGAGCGCCCGTGGCGGGCCTTTGACAGCGGGAGCTTGGGGGGGCATCCAAGCCCAGCCAAGCCCAGCCAGCGCGCTGAAAGGCGCCCCGGCCTTTGTCCCCTCCACCTGCCCGTGGGCAGCTCCATTCATGAACCGCATAGGTACCTAGGTGCCTGCCTCCACCACTGGCCGCAGCGACAAAGCCAGCCGAAGCAAGCCAAGCACCAGCCCGCACCGTGGCATGCCCCCAGCCCAAGTCGCTATTTCTCCTCCCACTCCCACCGCCCACCCACTCTTTTCCCCCCGTCATCAACACCAACACCACCACGCCCTCTTTTCGCCCCCTTCTCTCGTTCACCACCAGCCGCTGCCACGTCCTGCATCTGCCGCGAATCGTTGCTCCCACGCCGCCGCCGCGCCGCGCCAGATGTTTTCCTCATGTCCAGCCCGCATTCCGAGCCCGAAAATGCCGCACCCCCTGCACCGCTAACGCCCGCTGCCGTTGGCCATGGAAGCCCGACCCATGCCCACGCCCGGGGGTCAGGAGTCGGCAACAATAACCCTGATAACCGCACCGCAGCCCCTCCACCCGCCACTGCTCCCTGCACGGGCACGACCAGGAGTGCGAGTACTGGCACGCAGCAGCAACCTCCACCGTCACAGTCGTCCCGGGCGGATGAGTCGATCGCCCAGCGACCAGCCATCGCCAGCCCCGACGGCCACGACGTCGCTGTCACAACCAAGGCGGCCCTTTCGAGTCCCGCGCCCCCGGTCCCGGGAGCCGCCTCGTCCTCCGCGACACCACCCGTCGGCCTAAGCAGGGATGCGACACATGGCAGCGCCGACGACATAAATACCGTCAGCCCAGCAACTGCCGCCCCTGGCTCTGGGCCTCCGAGGCAATCTGGCCCGTCGTTGCTGACGCAGGCGTTGGCATCTGCCCGTGGCATCCCCAAGACTCCCAACTCCGTCTCGACTTTGCCGTCCGACAGCAACGGTCGACAGCAACACCAAACGTATTCAAAGGCGAAGCCCGACCCGCCCAGCTCCGTTGCCCACTCCCACCGGTCGCCCGTCAAGACAACCGCGCAAGCCTCGGACGTCAGGACGAGCCATGGCGGCATCTCTCCCGTGAAGCGAGGAGCACCGCTGTCTGGTGCCATGGCCGCGTCCGTCACCATCCCTATCGCCACGTCCACCGCTGCGCCTCGGGACCCTGCTAGTGGTCCATCGTCATACAACCATCACACCCTGAGCAACGCTAGAGAGGTGCTTATGGAGCATCGAAGTTTCCTCGATAGAGCGAAGGGCCGTGCTTCAACTTCCCTCGAGCTTGACCGCACTGGCAGCGAGCTACTCAAGGCGCGCACCTTTTCCCATTCGACCAGCCCAGACGAGTCAACCACGCCAACGACGACACATTCACCGGGACCGGTAAAGCGTACCGCCTCGCATGATGTGAATAACACACCGGGCGATTCGCCTTTTCGCCCGAACCCAATTCGGCACGCATTCACCATGGGTGCCGAGAAAAACGAAAAGGTCTGGTCCATCGGATCTGGCGAGGGCGAGGGCGAAGACGGCCTGGTGGAACAATCCGTTGCAGAGGCCATGGCTGGGGTAGAGCCCAACGCACGAAGTCGAAAGGCCAGTTACAGCTTGCGCTTCTTCAAAGAAGGCTTGCCTCCGGACGACAAGGCACGACGCAAGGATCCTCGGACAGCTCTGCGCGAGAAGCTGTCGCCGACTCTCGAGGACCAGCCTCCGCGTGGGCGGCGGGATTCACCTGGGGAGCTGCACACAACTCGGTCGATGCCGCCGCCGAAGGGAGGTGAGACCCAGCCACGCCCGGCACACGAGACCGATACCCAAGTCCGGGCCATCTCAGACGAGAGGGACTATTTCAGCGTCACAAAACGGACCGGCGACCGTGACGGGCCTTCCGAGGCCGCGCGCTTGCCAGAGTCGCAACCACAGGTCAACGATCAAGCGACGCCGACGCCGCACGAGGCAGCGAAGCCTACACCGGCGGTGGAGGCCGATCGACAGCCCAAGGTGGCGGTCAAGTCACCCGATGCCTCTCAACCGGGCTCAGAACGCCCTGGCGGATCCGACATTGACGGGGATGCAGATGTTGAGGCGGAAGCGGATGAGTCAGGCGAGGAGAAGATCTCGTCGGCTGTCTTCTTACCCCATCACGAGATGCCAGAGGCTCGTATCGTTAAGGGCGAAGGCATAGGCGCGGCGCATCCGCCCCGCCAAAGGTCACTGTCCCAGAGTAAGACACATCCTTGGCTTGTCAAAGCCGACGAGCCCGAGCCCGAGCCCGAAATCAGTGACAAAGATGATGAGCCTCCTCTTGACTTGTCCCGCGTGCGGTCCCGTGAAACGCCCGTATCACGACCCGGTGAGCCGTACCCGATGAAACCCGACGATTCTGCCGTCGAAGACGACCTGGAGGTGAAGAACCACGCCGTCATCCCCCACCAGCCGGCCCCCGTGAACCAGTACGAGGATCATGTCCATGAGCATCAGCATCAGACCCGTGAACCCCTCGAGGCCATCGAATTGATCCCCTACAAGCATCAGGTCGGGGGGCATACCACGATTTGGCGATTCTCTCGCCGAGCCGTGTGTAAACAGCTCAACAACAGGGAAAACGAATTTTACGAGACGATTGAGAGATATCATCGCGATCTGCTACCTTTCCTCCCTCGGTAGGTTTCCACATCCCCTGTCCCTCGCGCTGCCGTTGCCTTTCGGAGACGAAACGGAGCTGACATTTGACCAGGTATATCGGCGTCCTCAATGTGACATTTCACAAGCAGCCTAGGAGGAAGAGCGTCGCGAAGAGGGAAGAGGCGGCCGCCGCGGAACGTAAGAGGCTCCAGGAGGTGGCGAAGAAGGGACTGGAAAATGGTCGCGATTCGACCACGGAGACATCGGAGAATGGGCACGCCGATCGGGCTCCTGCACGTGTCATCAGCCAGTCTCTCGCAAACGCCAATATCCAGATTCCCACAGTGACCTTCGACGACAACAAACACATCCTGCCTCGCAACCTACTGCAGCCAACGCCACCACCCGACGCTTTCCGCCGTCGCAGCAGCTCCGCGACCAAGATGCATCAATCTGATTCTTCGCTTCCGCGACACCGGCCTCAGATGGAAGAGCGACCGAACAGTTGGGGTTACACGACAATCAATAAACGCCTACGGAATGAGGTGTTCAACGATGCTTTCTTGAAGCAGCCAGTCGAGGTCCAGAAGCATCGCCGGCCTCACCAGCGGTCCATCCCCCGGCCCACTCTGCAGAGGCTATTGCGGCCGACAATCTCTGATCCGAATCTTAACCAGGGGATCGAGGTGCCCGGGCTTACCCACGATGGCGCCCACAGCACGGACAGCTCCAGGGCCCAGACTTCACCGGAGACGCCTCCCCGGCTGAGGGCAGAATCTGTCAGTGACCTGGGCCCCGACATCGCCCTTCTTCGCCCAAAAGAGGACGACCGCGAGTCTGCAGTCAAGGATATCACCGGGACGAGCGCCCCTGAACCCGAGATCCTCAAAGCCAGCCCGCTGGTGACCAAGAAGAAGCGCCGCTTTTCCGCGGGAGGTCTTCGTCGACGCCCTGAGGACGTGCGCGAATCTAGAGGGCATCTCAAGTACTTCGAAGAGGCTGATGATGCCGACTACAAGGCGCATAACCAGCCTCTCGATGTACTTGCGGCAGAGGCACCGTTGCAAAATGGACGAGACGAAACACAGGCGAACGGCTCTCTTGAGCCAACGCCCACCCCTGCACCAGCGGACACTGCTGAGACCGGTTTGGACATGTCGAGCCCGGCTACCGAATTCACAAAGATTCTGCGACCAGTGAACCCAAAGGAAGCCAAGAAGGAGGCCAATTCTCAGCGAGATCGAGTGGAGTACTTTCTACTCATGGAAGACCTGACTGCAGGCATGAAGCGCCCGTGTATGATGGACCTCAAGATGGGCACGCGCCAGTACGGTGTCGAAGCCACACCCAAGAAGCAGAAGTCGCAGCAAGAAAAGTGCAGAGCCACCACATCTGCCGAGCTAGGTGTACGCATCTGCGGACTTCAAGTGTGGAACGTGCAGACACAGACGTACGAGTTCCAGGACAAGTACTTCGGACGTCGCCTCAAGGCGGGACAGGAGTTCCAGGATGCGCTGCAAAGCTTCTTGTACAACGGGGTAGACTTGGAGAGCATTCTGCGGCACATTCCGGTAGTGCTCAAGAAGCTGTCCCAGCTGGAGCATATTGTGCGGGGCCTCCGCGGATACCGGTTCTACGCTGCAAGCCTCCTAATGTTTTATGACGGTGATAATTCCAGCGATGGCGGATACGAGACCATGTACGATTCGACGACAGATGCGGCGACGGATACGGAGGAATCGGCTCGAAGGAAGCGGAGGAATCCTAGGGAAATCGATTTCAAGATGGCCGACTTTGCAAACAGCCTGACGCCGTTCGTCAACCTCGACGACAAGCCTTGCCCGCCGCAGCATCCAGACGAACCGGACGGTGGGTTTATCAAGGGCCTGAGAAGCCTGCGGCGATACTTTTTGCAGATTCAGCGCGAGGTACGCATGGAGCTTGACTTGGATCCCCGCGGCGTCCGGGGCAGCCGCTCGCGATTCTCGACACATGGCGACGGCGCCGGCGATCTGGAGGATGAGTGGGACGAGGGACGGAAGAGCCTATGAGCTTCGCCGTAGTTTACGGTGAACATACGGGTTGCAAGCTGGTACGATACCCATTCTACGTTTTGGAGACACGCAAATACCCCTTGGCAGCTCGGCCTTGGCTGCATGTCACGCTGGGTCTGGCCCAGATATGTTTCATTGCGGAACGGCGGCCGGGTTTGCATTGCATTCGATTGAAGCGCGGCTGTGTTGCGTGGCCATCCCGCCCTGCAAGCGGAATACGTACTTTTGTCGCGGCGTTCGGGCTTTATCCGTTTCTTGACTTTAGTCCGTTTCAGCGTCTTGTTTTGAGCTGGGTCGGGCGCCGCATGCCACCGGCGTTGCAGCGCGTTCAGATTGGCCGACGGATGGGATGAGAGGACGCGGTTGCTTTTTGCGTTTCTTGTTTGGTCGCTACGAAAGACTGGGACCTGTTGAGTTGTTTCATGATTTTGGGATGGTCGTAATCGTCATGGCGCGACGGGGAACGGTCGGAACGGGTTTGGGCGTCAAACGGAGCCTGGAAGCTGGACGGACGGCGCGTTCAAGAGGGTTACTTAGATTGTGCTAGACAAAATCACCACCAGTCATGATGTATGAACTTGCAAAGCTTTCGTCGATATGTCTGTCGATTCGTAGCGTCGGTGGCAGCCTCGTGACGTGAGACGGGCTACGAGCTTTCATTTGCAAACAGGGCCATACAGGAGGCGCTCTTCATCGGAACTCGCTGTTGCCACTGCCCGTCCTTCGTTCGTATTGGACCACGAAGACGGAAGAGCGTAGATTCGGTGCTCAAGCAGAGAGACGAGCCTTGGGCTGCAGAAAGACCTGTCAGTGCACGTGCATAGCGAGGCAGAGGAGATCGCAATGAAGAACGGTTCACGGAGTAATGATCCATGAACCAATCCTTCAGCTGCCCGTGGAACTGCCCGGTTGGCATTTGCTGCGCTTGCGATGCCCGTCTCCAGTCGGTCAACGCCCAGCCCTGAACGACCGACCGCAGCGTAGGCCGTCCACCCATTTTCACAGGTATGGCTTGAACAGGGAACAAGAGAGCATGCAGTGGAAGGCAGAGGAACCCGCGCAGGCCAAGGTGAACAGCTGCGAGCCAGCCAGCACAGGGCGTACGTCCCACCTGGCAACAGGTGAACACACCTCCGTCCAGCCCGTCACGCAGCTGGCCACAGC